TGGCACTAAGAGGTTGCCAGTTTCATTCCAAGTCAGAGCACATGCCCAGGTTGTGGGCCTGATCCCCAGTGAGGGGCATGCAGGAGGCAGCCAATCGATGTTCTCTCTCATTGATGTTTCCATCTCTCTCTCCCTCTCCCTTCCTCTCTCTCTAAAATCAATAAAGAAAAAAAAATAATAAAACAAAATAGAAAAAACTGGAGTTCAGTTGAAGAGAGCTGTCAGGCACAATGAAACATAACAACATCTACATCATAGGAATACCAGAAGAAGAAGATAGTAATCAAGGGTTAGAGAATCTGTTTGAAGAAACAGTGGCAAAAGACTTCCCTAACATGGTGAAGGAAAAAGCCATACAAGTTTGGGAAGCACAGAAAGTCCCAAGAAAAAAGAAGGCAATGAGGCCCATACCAAGACAAATCATAATTAAAATGCCAAAAATTAAAAACAAAGAGAGAATCTTAAAGGCAGCCAGAGAAAAACAACATTTTACCTACAAAAGAGCCCCCATATTAGCGGATTTCTCAACAGAAACACTACAGGACAGAAGGAAATGGATTGATATATTCAAAGTAATGACAGACAAGAAACTAAATCCAAAACTACACTACTCTGTCCACTCAAAATAAAAGTTGAAATAAAGAGCTTCCCAGATGAACAAAAAAGGCTAAATGAATATATTACCACCAAACCAGCCTGGAAGAAATGTTAAAGGGACTCCTGTGATAAGCAGAAGCAATAGAGAGAATATAGGCATAATAAACAAAATGGGCAAGAAATAGTACCTATCAATAATAACCTTAAATATCAATGGATTGAATGCTCCAATCAAAAGACACATAGTAGCTGAATGAATAAGAAAGCATGACCCATATACATGTTGTCTACAAGAGGCCAACTCAGAACAAAAGACTCACACAGGATGAATGTGAAGGGATGGAGAAAATACTTCCAAGCAAATGGAAAAGAAAATTAAAAAAAGCTGGGGTAGCAACACTCATCTCTGACAGAATAGATTTCAAAATGATGACCATAACTGGAGACAAAGAAGGCCACTACATAATATTGAAAGGATCTATCCAACAGGAGGATATAACCTTGGTAACCATATATGCACCCAACATAGGAGCACCAAAAGATATTACAAAACTTCTGGAGGACTTCAAAGGAGAAATCGACAGCAATACAACCAGAGCAGCGGACTTCAACACCCCGCTGATATCACTGGATAGATCCTCTAGACTAAAAATTAACAATGAAATGGAGACTTATATGACACATAAGATCAGATGGATTTCATTGATATTTACAGAGAATTACACCCACAAAATGGAGTTTATACATTCTTCTCAAGTGCACATGGGACATTTTCAAAGATAGGTCACATGTTAGGACACAAACTAAATCTCTACAACTTCAAGAAGTTTGAAATCATATCAAGCATCTTCTCAGATCACAATGGCATGTAACTGAAAACTAATTAGAACAAAAACCACTCAAAAACATTGAGACACATGGAGGCTAAATATCATGTGCTTAAACAATGAATGGTTTACTCAATGAAAATGAAGCGACAAAATCTATGGGATGCAGCAAAAGCAGTCTTGAGAGGGAAGTTCATAGTGTTTCAGTCCTCCCGTTTCAGTCCTACCTCAAGAAAAAAGAAAAATTTGTAATTGACTATCTAACCCTAAAACTTAAAGAACTAGAAAGTGAACAAATAGAAAAACCCAGAGGTAGCAGAAAGAAGGAAATAATAAAGATCAGAGTGGAAATAAATGATAGAGACAAAAACAAACATATGAAAAAATAATACAAAAGATCAACAAAACCCAGACCAGGATCTTTGAAAAAATAAACAAGATTGATGAGCCTTTAGCCAGCTTCACCAAGAAACAAAGACAAAAGACCCAAATAAAAAAAATCAGAAACAAAAGAGATGGAACAACTGACACCACAAAAATGCAAAGAATTGTTCACAGTATTTGTGAACAATTATATGCCAACAAACTGGACAAGCTAAGTGAAATGGACCAATTTTTAGAATCACACAGTCTCCCAAAACTAAACCAGAAAGAGCCAGTAAACCCAAACAGACCAATAACAACTAAGGAAATTAAAGCAGTAATCAATAAATCCCCCTTGAACAGAAGCGTGTGTCAAGACAGCCTCACAGGGCAGTTTTACAAAACAGCCAAAGAAGAACTAACACGAATTCTTTTCAAACTATTCCAAAAAAATCAAGAGGAAGGAAGACTTCCAAGCTCTCTCTATGAGGCCAGGATAATCCTAATTCCAAAACCAGATAAAGACACTACAAAGAGAATTACAAACCAATATCCCTGATGAACATAGAGACCAACATTCTCAACAAAATATTAGCCAATGGGATCCAACAATGTGTTCACCATGACCAGGTGGGATTTATCTCAGGGATGCAAGGCTGGTACAATATTTGCAAATCAATAAATGCGATGGGTGGCCATGGAGCCTAAGCTGAGGCATCAGACAGGGCGGGAGGGGGGCTGGGCGACAGGGACCCCTCAGCACAGAACCGGCTCCTGCTGTGCGCGAGGTCAGCACCCTTGTCAGCTGGACGCTGCGGTGGCGGAGCTCTCTGCCCAGATCCCCAGGGATGGACAGGGCGCTGACCTCCCACCTCCAGCCTCCTGAGGAGGAGGGCGCCTTAGGGCTCCGTCTGGAGACCCCGCCCGCCCTGGCACCTGGGTTCTGGCCAGTGGGGGTCCGGGAGGAGCTTGGGTGGAGCCCAGGTGGAGGGCGAGATGCGCCCAGCAGCCAGGGTGACACTTCTCCCCAGGGCCACCTTGTCACCCCCGGTGTGGTTGGGAGCCCGGGGAGGACCGTCTGAAATGTCTCCTTCCCTGGAGCAGAGGGGCCGTGCACGCGAGGGGTCCTCCCAAATGAGTGAGACTAAACCGCTGTGGAAACAGGGTCCCCGGGCAGCCTGCGCCCTGTAAGGACTGTTGACTTGCTCTCCGCGAGCAGCCCCCCAGGAGGGTGGTTTCTGTGAAATGCACACTCGCCCCTGTTCCTCCAGTGACAGCGAGGCTTCCTCTGTAGAGTAAAACAAGAATCCTTACTGACATGAATACGTTTGTCCTTATAGTACAATTCCAGCTACTAAATGTAGAAGGCAGGGTAGAATTAGGGACAGCACCCCATTGGGAACCACCAAAGTAATAATTATTTCAGAGGGAATCACCAGTGGATACTGAAGCTAACAGGTGGAAGTGGATGAGAAACAAGATGTTTGCATCGCCCCCAGGTGCCTGCCCACCAAATGCTTCCTGCAGGGGGTGAATCTTAACTAGCGGAGGAGGGAGCTGGTAGACACCCGGACCAAGTGATCAGAGTTAACATGACGGGACCTGGGACAGAGTGAATATTCGGTGCCCCTTGGGACGATGCACCGAGGATCCACTATCACTTCTGTTTCATTCCTGCCAATAACAACAAAAAAGCATAATCTGAATCTAATTTTAGGAAAACATCAGACAGACCCAAATGAAGGACATTATACACATGGGCCGTGTGCTTCAGAGACACCAAGGTCAGGAGAGACAAAGACTGGAGAACTGTTCTGGACTGAAGGAGATGGAGAGAGACATGCCGGGGCCTGGGTTAGGATGTTAGTAGCACAACTGGAGAAATTTGAATAGGTCTCTGCATTTTAATACTGTGTCAATGATAATTTCTGGAAGCATATACCATGTTGATGGATTGGAAGAATTAGCATCATTAAAATGTCCATACTACCCAAAGCAATCTATAGATTCAATGCAATCCTCATCAAAATACCAACGATATACTGCACAGAACTGGAAAAAATACGCCAAAAGTTTGTATGAAACAAACAAAAAAACCCTGAATAGCCACAGCAATCTTTAAAAAGAAGAACAAAGGAGGAGTGATCACAATGCCAGATATCAGGTTATACTAAAAAGCCATCATAATCTAAACAGCCTGGTACAGGCACAAGAACAGGCATATAGATCAATGGACCAGAACAGAGAACTGAGAAATGGACCCAAGACATCATGTTCAATTAATATTTGACAAAGGTAGCAAGAGCATAATTGGAGTCATGACAGTCTCTTCAATAAATGGTGTTGGGAAAACTGGACAGCTACCTGCAAAAAAAACGAAGCTAGACCACCAACTTATGCCATACACAAGAATAAACTTATAATGGATAAAAGACTTAAATGTGACTCAAGTGAATCCATCAAAATCCTAGAAGAAATTGTAGGCAACAAAATTTCAGACATCACACACAGCAGAATTTTCACAGATACGACACCTAAGGCAAGAGAAACAAAGGAAACAATGAACACACGGGACTACATCAAACTAAAAAGCTTCTGCACAGCAGAAGAGACAACTAGCAAAATGGAAAGGGAACCCACTACAAGGGGGGCATCATTGCCAACGATACATCAGAGAAGGGGGTAATTTCCAAAATATATAAAGTGCTCATACAACTCAACAAAAGGAAGACAAAGAACTCAATTGAAAAATGGGCAGGGGACCTAAAGAGACACCTCTCTAAACAGGACATACAAATGGCCAAGAGACATATAAAAAATGCTCAACATCACTAAACATCAAAGAGATGTAAATTAAAATAACTATGAGGTATGACCTCACACCTGTCAGAATGGCCGCCATCAACAAATCATCAAACAACAAGTGCTGGCGAGGGTGTGGAGAAAAGGGGACTCTAGTACACTGCTGGTGGGAATGCAGACTGCTGCAGCCACTATGGAAAACACTATGGTGTTACCTCAAAAAATTAAAAATTGAACTGCCCTTTGATCCAGTGATCCCACTTCTAGGAATATACCCTAAGAAGCCTGAAACACCAATCAGGATGAACATATGTACCCCCATGTTCATAGCAGCACTGTTTACAGTCGCTAAGATCTGGAAACAGCCCAAGTGTCCGTCAGCAGATGAGAGGATGAAGAAGCTGTGGACAGCTCCACGTGACGTTGGGACCTGCGGCTGAGGCAGTCTGTCTTCCGGGCCATGGAAGAGCATTTCCCTGTTTATTGGCAAAGCTGTCATTATTCAATTGGTATCAGGTTCTGACTTGCACAAGTAACATTCTTCGCTCTTAAAACCCTGGAGGGTGCCGGGTTTTTGGGCAAAGGTCGATTTCTCAAATGTTTGTCTGCGAAGTTGGACTCACTGTCCCGATGGGTGATGATGGAAAACATTAGGGATCAAGAAACGCAGGGACGTGGGTGGGTCTCCTGCTGCTTCCCGCAGGGCACAGGACAGCCGTGCTCAGGCCTCAGCTGCTCCTGGACTGGGTGCTAATGATGTCTGCACACGATCAGGCAGTGTTTCCAGCACAGGCCTGAGTGTTGTTGTTTTAAGTAGAGAACAGGTGAGCGCCTCCTTGTTGTAATTAAATAAGAGGCTTGGCTCATCCAGAAAAAAAATAAGAGCTGTGGCACATCCTGGCTGGGGTGGGGTCAGTGGTTAGAGCGTCGGCCTGCAGACAGGAGAAACCCTGGTTTGGTTCCCATAAGGGCACATACCTCGGTTGCCATTTGTCCCCGGCCCCGGTTGGGGTCGTGTGGGTGGCAAAAATTCCAAGTGTCTTTCTCACATCGATGTTTCTCTCTCTCTCTCTTCCTCCCTCTCTCCCTCCGGCTCTATCTGAAGATGAATGCAAAAATGTCCTCACCCGAGGATTAAAAACAAAAAGCTGTGGTACATGTACACAATGGAGTACTGTGCAGCTCTAAGAAAGAAAGATCTCTTATCCTTTGAGACGACATGGAGGGACCTGGAGAGTATTATCCTAAGCGAAAGAAGCCAAGCAGAGAAAGACAAATACCACATGCTCTCACTCATTTGTGGAATATAATGAACAAAACGAACTGATGAACAAAATAGACCCAAAGACATAGAAGTAGGTTCCAGATTGACAATCGTCAAAGGAGGGGGTGGTCAGAGGGAAGGGATAAACCACAGAACTTATATGCATGTATGTGTAACCAATGGACATAGACAACAAAGCTGGGGACGGGGTGGGGAGGGGATGGGGAGGAGGGTGTCAATGGGGGAAAAAGGAAAAACAACTGTAACAAAAATAAATTAATAAAAATGAAAAATAAAGAAATGTGATGGAGCACATAAAGTCATTGAAAGGTAAAAATCATTCAGCCCAGGCTGGTTTGGCTCAGCGGTAGAGTGTCAGCCACAGGACCAATGAGTCTCGGGTTCAGTTCTGATCAAGGGCACGCAACTTGGTTGCAATTCATCCCTGGCCCTGGTTGGGGTCTTACAGGAGGCAACCAGTTGATGTGTCCCTCTCACGTTGATGTTTCTCTCTTTCTCCTTCCCACATTATCTGAAGAAAAATAGAAAGAAAAGTCATATACATATCAACAGATGATGAAAAAGTATTTGAGAAAATCCAGCACCCATTTCTGATAAAAACACTCTGCAGAGTGGGAATAGAGGGATCATATCTCAAGATAATAAAGGCCATATATGAAAAACCTATGGACAACATCATACTCAATGGACAAAAACTAAAAGCATTTCCCTTAAGATCAGGAACGAGACAGGGATGTCTGCGTCGCCGCTCTTATTCAGCAAAGTACAAGAAGTCTTAGCCACAGCTATTAGACAAGAAGAAACAAATAAAAGACATCGAAATTGGACAGGAGGAAGTGACACTGTCATTCTCAGATGACATGATATTGTACATAGAAAACCCTAGAGAGCCCATCAAAGATACAGGATTTCACAGTGCAGCTCACATGAGGTCAGACCCTCTCCCACAAGCCGGGGAGGGGCCTGGACCGCAGAGACCAGTCTCCACGTTCACCTGACGCAGAGCAGAGCCGGCGCAGCGCAGGGCCCCTCGCTGGATCCTCGCACCGGGTCTGGGTCCGCAGGGTGGTCCTGGGTGAGCTTCTTTGGAATCCTGCCCACTACACCAAGTCCTGTCGACGTAAGAAACGTTCAAAGCTGAGAACATTGTGAGTTTATTTGAGCCAAATTGTCGACAAATGCCAGGAAACAAAACCTCAAAGATTGAAATAACGCTCTGGGAATGGCAGTTGTGCCCTTAATTTATACCCGACACTCAAAAGAGAAGATGTGACTGGGGTGCACGGACCCACTGGTGACCGATGAGGGGGCGGAGAGAGCAAAGCGGGGAAACCCTGGGCTTGGACAAAAGGTAAATGATAGACCCAGGCTCCTTTACCTGGTGGTGCAGGACAGTTCACAGTCAACAATTCACATGACGCTGATAAGGAGGGGATGTGTGGTCTCCACCCTGGTGCCCTGGTTGTGCCCTGAGGGGTGTGACAGAGGGAAGTCACTCCACCTGACAAAGGTCTGTTATCTTAGAGGCAGAAAGACAAGGGCTCCATGAAGGTGAAAATTGACCTTTGTCCGGGGAGATGCAGACCTGGGCCCTGTACCTGCCATAACCTGCTTCTAGTTACAAGGTAAATCTCAGACCCTCCTTTGTGGCTACTTTAGTAATATTTTGTTTGTTTGTTTATTGGTGCAGGGTCGACACTCAACCACTGAGACACACCGGCCGGACTTTCTTTTTCAAGTTGTCCCCACCCGGACCTTTAACACAGGGAATCAGCAGGCGGTCGCCATCCTCGCGGCAACTCCTGCATTTCCGCAAGCGCAGAGCTCGCGTGCCTTTTTCACCAGAATGCTCGAGAACGTGAAAATCTTTCGTTTGACCATTTCGCAAGCTCAAGATATTATTATTATTTTTAATAATATGTTTTTATTGACTTTTTAGAGAGGGGAAGCGAGAGATAGAAACATCGATGTGAGAAACATCCATCAGCCGCCTCCTGCTCGCCCCCTGCTGGGAACAGAGCCCACAACCCGGGCCAGTGCCCTGACCAGGACTCGATCCGGGACCTCTCAGTCCATGGGACACGCTGCATCCACTGAGCCACACCCACTGGGCAGGATATTATTAAGGCTTGCCCAGAATGTCCCCTTTTAGGAGGGACTCCAACATCGCCAAGAGTCTATCCTGGGGGTTAACCCCTAATGCCTATGGCAAGCAGATGTAACACATACTCCATCCTTTAGTGGATTTCAGTGGGTCCATGTTACCGTTGACACCATTCCAAGTTTTTGCATTGAACAGCTGCAGTACCGGGGAAAAGCCAAAGACGTTAAGCGTCACTGGCTGTCCTGTTTTGCACATATGGGGGCGCCACTGGAAATTAACACAGGTGGTGGGCCAGCCCATACATCTCAAAGCAAGAACTTATTCCTCCAACAGTGGAGCGCTGGGCATAAAACTGGCATCCCCTAAACCCTACATGACAGGCTACTGTTGAACGTGCACATGCTACTTTAAAGTTATTAATTACAGAACAAAAAAGGGGGAATATGGGTGAACCCCCTGTGAACCAACTTTCTCTGACAATCTATACCCTTAATTTTTAAAATTGTGGTCGCTTTGGTACCACAGCCCTGGAGAGACATTTTCAACATAAAGCTTCCCCCACGGGGCCCCAGGCTGTGGTCCGGTCCCGGGATCCACAGCAGGGGCCTGAGTGGGAAGGTCCTGTGGAGTCATTGGCGTGGGGGCGAGGGGGGGCCTGTGTTTTGTCTCCTACAGGTGCCAGGGGCTGTGACTCAGGGGATAAGACCTCACCATGAGCAGGAAGGACCTGCCCTTCAACCCGGTTCCTCAGATGGCGCAGCTGACCCTGGACCCTAACCGTTACCCTCATGCTCATTCTCGGGGCTCCACTCGAACCTTTCCGGGGTCCCTTGGGGCAGCCTTACGCAGCTGCAGCAACGGTCTGAGGAAGTAGCTGCTCGATTCGAGGCCTCGCAGGCAGCTGTGTTTGGGCTGGGAGGGCGTGGAGGCCGTGGCCACTCGCTCCACGTCACGCGGTGGTTGGTTTGGTCACAGTGTGTAAGGAACCGCAGTGCCTTGGGGTGCCCGCTCCCTGCCCTGGACAGTGGGCAGCAGCACTTGGAGTGAGTGTGTTTGTTAAGAATCTCGGCTGAAAACAGCCCGGGGCCGTGGGAACAGGAGGAATGCTGGGCTGGACTAACATCAGCAGCAGGACAGGGTCTGAAGGACTCAATTAGCTCAAACACAGTGTCTCCTAGGGCTCTGCTAAGACAATAAGTCAGCTGCATCCAGACATGGGGAGCATTGCTCCCTTGTGATGCCCCCTCACGCCAGCCCTGTCTGCTTGTAGTTCATTGTGGTGCGAGGACCCCGGGCAGCTCAGGAGTCAGCGGGTGGTCAGCACGGGGCAGACAGAGAACAGTGGGGCCGGGAGCATCAGACACGCACAGGTGCACACACACAGGTGCACACAGGCAGGTGCACACACATGCACACACAGGTGCATACTCATAGGTGCACACAGGTGCACACACACCACATGATTCACAGACATGATTTTAAGTGGAGGTCCCGTGCAGAGGGCCAAGGGAGGGGTTCTCTTCAGTAAAAGGAGCTGAATCACCGCACAGGGGGACGGAAGGAAATGACTTCTATGTTGCTCTCTAAAAGAATAAGCTCGAGGCTGACTGTAGACCTCAGCCACCTTGGGGTTGGTGTGAGATTTCTCACGGAGAACACACAGACACCAGCCATGAAGAAAACATGATCTATCTTTGATATGTTGATTAATTGGGCTAGTTTGAACCTCTGAGCTGGGGTCTGTCCCAACCTCGTCCCTCTGACCTGGCAGTGGCCACGATGACTCTCCTGCCCTCCTTCTGCAGGAGGAGGCCCCTCCAGGGCTCAGCCCCTACGCACATCTGGGCAGCGGGCAGGATCCGGCCAGAGGGCACCCCGCAGGCAGGGGCAGGAAGAACTGTGGGCAGAGTCATGCTGGGGTTCAGAGCGGGACTTGGGGGAGGGTCTTCCAACTCAGTGGAGTCAGCCACCTCTCTCAGCCTATTTCCTCCCAGAACACTGGGGTGATCACAGCGAGCACCTCACGGATAGAGTGGCCCCTCTATCCGGACAGCCCAGGTGACACCTGCTGCCCCAGTGGGAAAACGTCCCTGTTTGGGTGACCCGTTACAGGCCCCTGCTCAGGGCTGCAAGTATTTCTGAGGATTAAATGGGAGAGGCTGGTGACAGGGAGGCTGTGGCCAGAGTGCGCCCCCTGGGCGGCCACCTCCCCCCAGGTCCAAGCACCACAGGCCCTGAAACACCTGAGCCACCAGCCCCTCCTCTGCCGCCCCTTCAGGGGAACTTGTCCTGGAGCTGCTGCCCCTTCATCCTGTGGTACAGGGCAGTGACCTCTTGTCGCTCTTCCTGGGGGGCTGTGGCCTGTGGGGGGCTGGGCATTGACCAGGGGAGGTGGATCTGGCCAGGTGTGCCCCTCCCCGCCCTCCACCTGTGGGCCGGCCTCACATTTGCTGTCTGCGTCTCCAGCCTCAGCACCTGGCCATGTCCTTCTGCACCAGGAGGTGGTTCTCGGGCAGGGGCCTGTCCGGCCGCAGCATCCTGGGCACTGACACCAGGACCTGCAGGGAGGCTGCGCACACCTGGGCCGGAGGACGCAGGATGGAGTCGGGCACCTGGCCCCCTTGGCCCCTGGGGCTCTGTGTGGGGGTGGGGTGGGCCTGTGGCATGGGGGCAGGCCCCCAGGATGCTTGTCCCTCAACCTCGGCCAGCAGCTCACGGTGTTGTCATGTGTCCATGAGATGGACGCACAGCCGAATTGTAAAGGAGCACTTTATTTTTGCCAGCGGGCTTGGGGGGCATGGTCTCCCCTCAGATCAGCAGCCCCAATTTTTCTTGCTCAACTGCTTTAAATGACAGAAGCCCCACCCCCTTTTTGCCCCCCCTCAGCCCATCCCCCTTTTGGCCCCTTCCCTCAGGTCACAGGTACAATAGTGGGTGTGACAGTGATTACAGAAATCAAAATTAGCATTAATCACTGGGCTCCTGATTTGCAGTTTCTGATACTCAGGGAAACTCAAATACTTCCTGACACGTGGGGGCAACTATGACCTTAAACAAAATTCCTTTACTTCCAGGGGTAGTTAACCTATTATTGGAAACATATCAAGGAGGGTCCATTGATGATAAAAATGGAGTCATTTAGTCGTCTTCGCCAAGGGGCCCAGGTCATTCCCAACTGGTTTTCCTGACAAGTCGAATCGGTGACTCAGCTTAGTTTGTATGAGGCTGTTTATCAGAAGTGACCCAAAAGCTACGAGTAAACATAACATAGCAAGAGGGCTGGAAACGGCAAAAAATAGAGTTGTAAACCGATTTTCAGACTGTCGCCTTTTTCTTTCTTGTTCCTCAATATTTTTCCTAACTAGTGATAAACTTTCTTGAATAAGCCCTGAATTATTTGCATAAAAACGGCATTTTTCTCCCAGTGCAACACATAATCCTCCTTCCTTAAGAAATAAGAGGTCGAATCCTCTCCTGTTCTGTAGGACCATTTCGGCTAAAGAGTTTTCTAAGTGGCTGAGATCTGTCTCTATCTGGAGGCTGAGGTCCCTTAGATTCTGGTCATTCCTGACAGGGGAGTAGTGCCCACTGCTGTGGATGGTTGGGGTTGGTCAGCCTTTTAACATTTATATGTGGATCGCTATTTCCTAGAGAGCAGGTAATAGTAGCTATTGTTTCACAACCCCAAGAGGGACAGAAATGTTTGCTAGCATTTAATCTTGGCGTCTCCTGGGCAAATATAAATTTCTATCCCTTGCAATCCCCATTCTGCAGCAGACGTTCCACAGCTCCATGCTGGGGTGTCTTCTAGTTGGGGGCTTGTGTGGACAGATGGGTTTGATCCGCAGGAAAACCGCCCTGAGTGAACATGGATGCTTTGTTTGCATGTGTCTAAGCTTAGGTGTAGCCGGAACACCCCCTAGAGTAAGCAAATGAGTCCCAGGACTCAAGAATGTCTGGGTTTGTTATTTTTTACCTTTAAAGTCTCTTTCCCCCTAAAACGCCAGAGACAAGGCTGGGCTGTATGGTTTGCAGAGACACCATCTCAAGGAAATAATTCACATAAATGCACATGTAACTTGGGGAACCATTCCACAGATAAATGGGGACTGCATCCAGAGATCTGGATCACTTGCTCCCTTGCAAATCTCCCCTCACTATTACCAGCCTGTGCTTGTAGTTTATTGGGTTGTGCCGACATCAGCAGGCTGAGAGACACAGTCTGTTCACACCAAACTGGCCGCGTTTCATTGGTTTGCACCCTCACAGAGGAGGGAATCCGTGGGGGTGCCATGCCCAGCACCTGAGCCAGGGACACACATAAGATGAGGAGCCAGGGGTGGGGGCTGACTCACCCAGTAGGCCCCCATCTGGTCCACCAGTGGTGGGTGGGCTGCTTCTCTGGAGCCACAGAGCCTGCCCTTTGGATGTGTGTAGGGTTTGCAACCTCAGGGTGCACATGTGTGCCTCAGGTCTGGGGTGACTGAGGTGCTAGAGCCCCAGGGCAGAGCCCCTCCTGCCTGGGAAGATTAGGGTTCGGTTCTGAGCACAGTCTGCACCTGGGAGACCCTGGGCAAGGCCAGGTCTCTTTTTGAGTCCCCATGGCCCCATCTGTGAAATGGGGGCAAGAAGTCCCCAGCCCCACCCCTCCAGGGACAGGTGGGAGTGGATGTGACCATGGTGGGGAGCCCCTCCTTCTGGGTGCTCAAGGGTGACACAGTGCCCCCCTCTCCCTATGCCAGCCCAGCCCCCACCAGACCTGATCTCTGGAATGCTCTGACTCAGACAAGGAATCTCAGACTCCCCGCTGAGGGACAAGCACAGACACCTGCCAGGCACAGGGCTCCGCCCCCAGAGCTGTCAGTCACTGCAGCTGAACACAGGAGGCTCCTTCCAGGGCAGAAGCCACAGGTCAGCTCTCTGGGGTGCAGAGCGGCAGGGAAAGTGCAGGTGCGTGTTGGGGGGCACCCACTCCCACTGGAGACTCCCAGGGGGGCTGATGGACAGGACGGGCTGGGAACTGCTCTGCAGACTCTGGGCTCACCCGCTGGGCAGGAGCCTGGTGAGGGCTGTGCCTGGTCCCCCCCACTCCAGGGCCCTGAGAGCCCAGCCCGTGCCCCTCCCCCCTGGCCTGTGGGTCTGGGAACCTGGGGCCTGGAGGGAAATTACTGCTGAGCCCAAGCTCAGTCTGTCTGCACTTTCGGACCAGCATTCAGACGCAAGGAGGAGTCCTGGGCCTGCCATGGGTCCTGCTGGCAGGGCCTGAGGGTCCAGAGGAGGGACATGGAGCCTCTGCAAGGCTGGGGGCCCCCACCCTGGAGCCTGGCGCCCAAGGCTGCTGCCCTGAGACTGGTGAGTCCTCAGATTCTCATCCTCTGCCCCCCATCCCCAGAGCCCCACTCCTGCCCCCTGCTGTGCCCAGCAATCTGCTCCTCCTCAGTGTCTCCCTGGGCCCTGTCCCTGTCCCTCTCACACCAGACTTTGTCCCCAGCAGCCCCGCTCTTTGGGCTGTCCCAGCCCCTGACACTCCGTTCCCTGAGCACCGGGATGGGGGGCACAGGCAGGAAAGCTGTACCTCCCATCATAGGATCTCTTCTCTATAGACTCCCACCCCCACCACCCCATTGAGGGGTGAAAGGTGAGCCCCACCACGAGGTGTGGGTGCTGGGACGTGCATTAGGGCAGAAGCCCAACCGGGGCTGAATCCACCCACAGCCGCAGCCCTGTCCTGGGAGAAACTCGAATATCTGTGCACTGGGCGGGAGGCCGCTGCTCCTGGGCTGTGTGGTTCCCTGTCAGCCCACGCGGGTACCCTGAGGATGACCCCTGTTTGCCGGGGCCCCTCCTAAGCCTGTGTCCCCTGTCAGGACCCTCCTAAGCCTGTGTCCCCTGTCAGGACCCTCCTAAGCCTGTGTCCCCTGTCAGGACCCTCCTAAGCCTGTGTCCCCTGTCAGGACCCTCCTAAGCCTGTGTCCCCTGTCAGGACCCTCCTAAGCCTGTGTCCCCTGTCAGGACCCTCCTAAGCCTGTGTCCCCTGTCAGGCCAGAGAACCCTGAAGGCCATCCCTGCCCTGACCCTGTGCTCCCAGGGCTGAGCAGGACCAGCAGGGGCAGCAGGGAGGCCCCGGTTCCTTCAGGCTCCGCCCTCCAGGGCTGGGGCCCCAGCTGGGGAGCAGAGGGGCTGAGCTGGGGACCCAGACCAGGCAGTGCCCTCCCCAGGCTTCAGGGTGGTCAGTGGACAGTCCTGTCCTGGGGCCACCAGCTTGGTCCCCACAGGCCCTGACCCTACACAGCTGCTGGTGCCCATTACTCAGGGGGTGAGGCTGAGGCCCAGGCAGCTCCTCTGACCCAACGCCCTCCCATCCCCTTAGGCCCTACTGTGTCTCCGTCTGGGAGCCCTCCTCAGCGAGGACAGGCCCCCCTGCAGGGACGGGGAGTACCCGGTGGGGGCCAAGTGCTGTCCCAGGTGCAGCCCAGGTGGGTGCAGCCCTGCGGGGACCCCTGGGGAAGCTGTGGGTGGGGGCAGGGCTGTGGGCAGGGGCAGACTTCCCAGCCTTCCCAGGCCTGGGGCCCTCAGTTCCCAGTACCCACCACTGGGGTGCAGAAGAGAAGGTTGCGGGGGGACAGGAGCCCGAGGTCACCCCCTGCAGCTCTCACACCTCAGACCTTCACCTCACTGCACAGGGGACAGGGGCTCGGGGTGGCCACCCCATTTATGGTCAGAAGACTGGGTCTCAGGGCCGGGCATCGGTTTCTCCGGAGGCCCCACATTCTCCCAGAACCTCTCACTTCACACAAGGCTGGCTCACTGTGCCGGGGACAATCAGCTCAGGAGCCCTTGATCCCTGTGGGAGGTGTCACCTCTGCCCGGGCTCCCGAGGGGTCACCCTTCCTGAGTGTGTGGACCTCCGGGCTGCAGGACACCGGGTGAAGGAGGCCTGTGGGGAGACCACGGGGACAGTGTGTGCACCCTGCTCCCCGGGGACCTACACAGCCCAACTCAATGGCCTGGACGAGTGTCTGCCGTGCCACCTCTGTGACCCAGGTGAGAACACTGAGCCCAACCAGCTCTGTGCTGAGCCCCAAATCCCCATCACAGCAGGCCCCCCACCAGCCAGGGGTGCTCCCTGCCGGCCATCCTTCAGGGGATCCTCAGGACAACAGACACACCTGTCTGTCCCCAGGGAGGGTCCAGTTCCCCTAACTAGTCACCCCTAGACCCAGGCCCTCCAGGGCTCAGGGACCCTGTCCCATCAGAAGGACACATCATCCTGGGTCACTGCCAGCCAAGGCCCCAGGGCCGGGCCTCCTTCACCTGAGTGCAGGGTCTCAGGACCCCTAAACTTCTCGCCCACCCGAGGGCCCCTCCTCAGGCTGAGCACTGGACCCGAGGCCTGCTTCCTGCCCAGGGCAGGTGATCTGGGCTGGGCACCCAGGAGGAAGGCCAGGGCCGAGGTGGAGGCCAGGATGCTTGGGGTTCAGGGAGGGGGGTGAGCCTCCTGCTACAACCACAGATCCCCCAGGGAGCCTGTGTGACGGGCTGAGCCGGGGCAGATGGCAGGAGGCTGTCTCAGGGGGCTCCCCACCCCACCGCCAGCTGAGGGGGCTCCTGCCCTGTGGCTGCCATCTGACCAGCCTGGTTTGCAGGATGGGAACCTGTCTGAGGGCGTCTTCAGGGGGGCAGCCTGGGGCTGGGACTGGCCTCAGCCTGTCCCTACTGACGGGACCTCACTTCCTGTCGGGCCCAGGCTGGGAGGTCTCAGTGTCCCCCAGAGGCCTGGCCTTCTGTGCGGGACACCCGTCCACCACCCCTACCGATGGTCTTTCCCTGCCGGCTGCTGGTCACCTCCCTTGAACCCCCTTTGGGACTCTCCTGTGTGTCGGGCACCTCCCGGCAGTGTGTTCTGGTGGAGCCTGGGGGCACCGGGCAGGGTCCCAGCTGGGAGCAGAGTTGGGCTGAGGTCCCATCACCCAGGGCGCTCCCCAGACCCCAGGCAGGAGCCCCAGGCCTGCAGGTGTTGTTCTGCCCTCAGCTTGGTTTCCCCCAGTGACGGGGCACTCACCACCAGCCCTGTGTCCTTGCTGTGGGTCTGACTCCTTCTCTGGGTCCCAGACATCGGCCTGGTGACCAGGAGGAAGTGCTCCAGCACCGGGAACACTGTGTGCGGCTGCGACCGAGGCCACTTCTGTGTCCTAGTGGACGGGGACGACTGTGCTGAGTGCAGGCCCCACAGTGACTGCAGACCAGGCCAGAGGGTGCAGGTGACAGGTGAGCCCCAGCACCCAGTGAGGACACAGAGCAGACAGAGCCCAGGGGTGGGGAGGCCCCGAGGAGCCCTCTGCCCGACACTCTCGTTCTCAGGCACCGAGAGGCAGGACACGCTGTGTGAAGACTGCCCGCCTGGAACCTTCTCTGCAGGTGGGACCCAGGCGGTGTGTGAGCCCTGGAGCAAGTAGGTGATCCCGGGGTGGTCCTCAGTGCTCCCCTGGGAGAGAAGGGCCCTCCCCCAGCAGAGAGACTGTGGGCCCCACTCTGGCCGAATCTGCCCATGTCCTGTGTCTCTCTCGCAGTCGTCACTGTAGCTCAGCGCCCACATCAGCACGTCCTCGATCCTGGAGCTCAGGGTGCTGTGGCCAGAGACCCCACACCCTGTGTTCTGGGGTGTCCCCAGGTGTCATGGCTGAGGGGCTTCCCTGGGATTCAGGCCTCAGGGAGAGGCCTAAAGGAGGCTGTCAAAGTGAGGACCCCCTCCCCCTGCAGCAGGTCCCCTGAGTGCCAGTCCCCGGGTTCCAGCTCTGTCCTGGATGCTCAGGGCTATGGGAGGAGGCTGGTGACCAGGTGTGGCTGCCACAGGGGAGGGTCCAGGGGTCCTTCTGGCTCCACCCTCCTCACCCCAGCTGAGCTATGTCCCTTTGTCTGTGGCTGTGGCTTTAACAGTCTGTCCCTGACACCAGCTCTGTCTCCACCCTCTGTCATCTCCATCGCTGTCCCTCTGTCCTGTGAGTGTCCCTGTCCCCTGGCTGTCCTGCCTCCCCCTCCTCTCCCTCTGTCTTCCCGTGGCTGCGGGACATGGAGTCAGACAGACCACGTTCACCCAGAGCCGCCCCCGCACGGGGGCCCCAGGCAGCAGCCTTCACCTCTGTGAGCCCGGCTGTGCAGCGGGACACTGGAGGGTCCCCGTGAGCATCAGGCCCCCAGGGTGCCCAGGCCTGTGACCCAGGTCCCCACCGCTCCTGTCCCCCAGGTGCAGCGGACTCTTGGAGATGGAAGCCAAGCCTGGGACCAATAGCACAGATGTGACCTGCTCCTCCTCGTTCAATGTTGTCATCCTGTGTGTCTGCACTGTCATCCTCGTCACTGTGTCACTGGGATACTTAATCATCAGAATCAGAAGGTCACGTGGTAAGCAACAGCCCCTGGACCCATCAGGGCTCAGGTCCCAGCTCTCATTCCACCACCCTCCCTGGTCTGTCCCTCACAGTGGGGGAGGTGTGGCTCTGGGGCCCGGGAGGGCGGGACTTCCTGTCTGAGGAGCCCTGTGCCCAGAGGTGCCTGCTCAGCACCTTGGACTCTGAGCTCCTGTCTGCCCTCAGGGGACAGAGAAGCACAGGAGCCTGGAGCCCTGGGGGCGGGGCCCACGTCATTCATTCCCTCCTTGGTTCCCCTCACCCACTGTCCCCTGCACAGGGCTCTGTCTGCCCGGGGAGCCCGAGTGGCAGGGGGAGCGGGCACGGAGCAGAGAAAGGCACAGGGAGAGGGGCAGGCTCTGTCCTGTGTCCTCACCCGGGAGGGGCCAGGCCAGGCTCTGAGCAGCCGGGCAGTGTCCCTTCTCTCCAGATCCTGGGGCACCCCCTCCTCTGTGGGGTGCTCACCCCTCTCCCTGGTCGGTGGTCTGACTGGGCTGAGTTAGGGACTGAGTTTGGCAGCTGGCCAGGTGGCAGGGGTGCCCTGAGTCTTGTCACCTGTCCTGGCTCCCTGGGGCAGGCCGGGCAAGGAGCCATCCACACTGGTCTGGCTGCCTCTGAGGGGCCGTCTCTCCGGGAAGGTGTAGGGTGAGGGGCAGAGCTCTGGGGTCCCCCCAGTGTGTATCGCCCCCCCATGCACGTGTCTCTGTTTTGCAGGAGAAACCACCCAGAGGACACACAGGGATCAGGTACTGATGCTTGTCCCACCCTGGCAGTGATGCTGCTGGGCTGGGTGGGGTCCCAGTTCCCTGTGGGTGCTGGGTCCTTAGGGTGCAGTGAGCTCACTCGGGACGGGAGGCCACTGCTCCTCCCCTGGGAGACCGGGCTGACCCTGAGCATCCTGGGCCGAGGGCAGGAGCCGGCTCATTGTCTTCATGCCAAATGTACTCCACAGTGGAGACGACAGCAGGCGGATTGGGACACCACAGCCGACCAAGCCCTGCAGGAGTTTCCGATCTTGCCAGATGTCACCACCGTGGCCATGGAGGAGACAGCATCTGTGTTCCCTGACAGACACCCACCAGGTCACGAATGTCTTCAGGATGCAGACATCTGAGCATCCACGGGGCCTGCTGACTGTTCCAAGCCCCCGAGGACCGAATGTGGGGCCCGGGGAGCGAGTGGCACCTGCTGCTGGAGGGCTGAGCCTGCACCAGGCAGAACAAGGGACCAGCCCTGCTAAGTGGGTTTTGGGGACCACACATGCCTCCTCATCAAACTCCTGAGGTGCCCTGAGCCCTCCTCTCACCCCTTGCTGGCCCAGCACCCCGAGGTCACTCCCACAGGAAATCTTGTCTCCCCACCTGCTCCAGCCCCCTGAGCCTCAGCTGCAGGATGGGCCTGTGGGCACCTCCGGGGGCTGGACTGGGCACAGTGGGCATGAATGTGATTATTGGAAGGTATTTCCCAATTGGACTTACATTCCGTTTATATTTTCACTGCTCATTAAAAGCTATTTTGCGGAGATGCTTTGAGGGTAAGTCAATGTCCAGTTCCAGCCAGACTCCCAGGGAAACCCTGAGACAGACGCTGCTGCACGTGGCTGAGTGTGTGGGGGGAGAGGTGTGAGACCACGGACACGCTCCGTGTCTCATCTGCGTGTCTCCATTGATTTTCTTTCCCGACAAAGTCATTGCACTGGGAAGAACTGTCCTCATTCATTCTGTCACTCCCTCACTCCCTCCCTCACTCACCTGTCCATTCATGCATTCGTGTATACTGATGACCGATGGCCTCATGGTTTCCTGTCTTATTCACTGGGGTCTGACCCACTAATCCCGTTCCTTCTGGTGCTAAGGTCCTCCCGGATCTTTCCATGAGGGGGCACTTTAAGCTGCTCCTGGATTCTTAGACACATTTCTCTCACCCCACGAGCCTCTCCGGAATGCCTGGCCCAACAGCATGTCCAGGCCTCTGGCTCCACCCTCCCTAGTCCCAGGACCAGGCATCCCTCCCCCAGCCCTGGCTGTTTCTATGGAGAACGGTGTTTAGAACCCACCCTTAGTGGCTGGGTGTGCTCACTGTCACCGGGTGTCAGCGCTCCTGGGGTTTCACGGGGAAGAATTAGGAATCGCACACCCCACTCTCTGCACAAATGTGTAGCAGAGATGTCACCCCAGTGGAGACAGAGTAGTGCACACAGGTGTCCTGAGCTGCAGGTGAGCACCAGCTCCCTGCCAGAGGCCCATTCCTGACCAACACCCACGTGCAACAGGGGTTGGCGCGGCTGCTGAGGGGCACTGGGCTGGACAACCCACCGCCCTGTGCCCTCCATCTGCCCCTTGTCTCCCCTCTCCATCCCCGTCCCCCTATGCCTGGGCTCCTGGGCAAGGCTCGGAGCTGGTCTCTGGGCACCTCTCAGTGCCCCAGGTCAAACCCTTGGGGCAGGTTGGTATAAACGGGTCCCTCGCAGAGTGTGGGCTGCTGTGAAGCTGTGTGAGCAGTGACATTCTGACCTTCGTGGTGTCTCGAAGGCGACAAAGTGAGCGAATGGGCACACTTCTCACGACAGAAACGGTGTCTCTTGCCTGGAAAGGAAGAGTCTTCCTTCGTCTCGGTGGCCTTGGTTGTCACCCACACAGCTGAGCCCAGCAGTGCTGGGGATCTGCCCGCCCTGAGGACACAGGCCCTTGACACAGAGCAGGGGGGCGGCACCCGCTCCCTGGGGCGGGCAGAGAAACGCGGTGTCTCCCACCCCGTGAGGAGCTGGGCGGTTCTGCCCCAGAAGCACGTGGAGAGCAGCTGGGCAGAGGAGGGCCGGCCAGGCCCCTGCCCTGGGACAGTGGGCACTGCGGAGAGGTGCACCCCCAGGCCCACCCACCTGGAAGGAGCGGGACCCTCGTCCCCAAGGGGGTCTGCAGCTGTCCACCTGGCTGGGCCTGCCCTTCCTCTGGGGCTCTCCATGCCTTCCAGACCCCGGAATGCATTTGCTCTGCTGGATGGAGGAACCGGGTTACTGTTCTGGAGCCTGGACCTCCAGCCGCACCCCAGGCTGAGGACGCAGCAGCACCTCTGTGGCCTGCGTTCCCTTCTGCACTGCAGGCTCTGGGGTGCCATCAGGGGCTCCCACCTCCGCGTACAGGGCAGGGGGCGCCCTTCCTTCTGCAGCGGGGTGCAGGCCCGGGCCCTCCGTCTCCAGCCCCCAGGGAGCCAGGCCCAGCGCGCGGGCGGCCCGCTGTCTGCAGCCCGTCCCGGCTCCCAGGGCTCAGTGCCTGTGTCACCTGCGGGAAACTTTGGAAACGCTGGACCGCAGGGACTTTCCCGCTGGACCAGACCTTGGGGGACAGGCTAAATCCTAGGAGGGGCGCCAGGTGGGCGGAACCATCGAGCACACCGCTCCCCTTCACCCGCCGCCGCCACCCCCACTCCTCTGGGTGCGGAGCCCGGGACCCCAGCCGAGCAGGAGGACCCGCCAACAACCTCCAGTAGCCGGGGCCCAGGTGCACTGGCGGCGGCCCCGCCTCTGAGCACCGCCCGCCGCCGCGCCATTGGCCGACGGGCCAGGCACATGCAAATTAGCTGTCTGAGTGCCTGAGGCGGTGTCTGGCTGGAAGGAAGTCTGGGGGGGGAGGCGGGGTCACAGGTCGACCCAGGCCGGGCGGGGCTTGTGGGGGTGGCCGGGACCGCAGCTGGGTGCGGGCTGGACCCGGGTTCCAGCAGGGCTGGATGGGGGCGTGGCCTGCTTAGGGGTGCGGGGCGTGCGACCTCGTGCACCTACCCCGCATGCCCGGGCGTGTGTCCTGAATTCCCTGTTGACTGCGGTTGGGGGGTCGTGGGGTCGTGGGGTCGGACGGGAGCAGGGCGGTGGTCCTGGTGGGTCCAGCTCTGGCTGCTGGGCTGGGGTGCTGGCCTTGGCAGGGAGCTCCGAGGGGCAGGGCGAGGGGCGGGGCTGGATCTCCAGCCCAGGCCCAGGTCCTGCATTTTCAGGGCTGGTGGCAGGAACAGGAGTGCAGCGTGGCTGCCTGTGGGGTTGGTGGCACCGAGAGTCGCAGGATCACGCGCGAGCTCAGCAGCCTGAAAAGTCTCCAGGACCAGCGTGGCATGTGCTGGTGGGCGTGTGGCCTGAGGCCCTGCCTGCAGGAGTTTGTAGACTTCCCTGGAGCTGCCTGTGCTCCAGCCCCTCCCCTCATGGAGCCTCCCCTCAGCCCCCTTTAGCTCTTATCACACTCAGGGCATTGGGGGTCCCTCCTGCCAGCCCCTCTCTGTCCAGGAGCAGGCAGCGGTGATGTGCTCCTGTGTCAGCTCCCCTCATCTCTCCTGCCCCTGCAGCTGTGGCCCCAATCCGGATCCCCTGCCCTGATGTCCCTCCCACTGTGGACAGACAGTGTGGTCCCAGTGGTGCCTCTGGTCTGGAATCAGAACTAAAAGGCTTTCCTGAGACAGCTGCACCCCGCCTCCCACCTTTGGTCACCTCAGATGAGAACCTGAACTAACCAGGTGCCACTTCAGCAGGAGTAGCTGGGACAAGAGCCCAGGCTGAGCTGCCCCCACCTCCAGGCCCAGGACTCCTCCCCAGGGACCCTCACAGAGCCCAGGGGCAGAGTGCAGGCGAGTCCTGCTCCCCCTTTCTGCGTGTCATCTCTGGGCCTCAGCCCTTCCTGCAACAGCATGTAACTCAGGCCTACTCTGCATGTCCTGCCCTGTGGGGAGAGCTGGGCTCTTAGGGTGGACAGAAAGCTGGGTGCAGGGGGTGAGCCAGGGTGCTGGGCAGGTCTGGGGCACACACTGAGACCTCTGCTGTCCAGAGTTCTACCTGAGAGAGCAAGGGGTCCTACCAGGAGCAGAGCTTCCAGCCCCTAGGGAGGGAGCCCAGGTCCACTGCTGACCCCCTTCTCCATGCTGTCCTCTCCCTGGACAAGGCTTTGGTGGACCCAACACGTGGGTCAGGCTTTCTACCCACTCCACCCCTACTTGTTGCTTTCTGTTGTGGTCTGTGGGTCTGGTTTCTCACCCAGGACCTGCCCCTAGAAGGCTGCAGAGGGGGCTTGAACACTAGAGCCCCAGTCAGGGGTCAACCCAGCCACATGGGGTGCCTGTGTCCCAGGCTGGCTGCCCCTCCCTGTTGGGGGAACAGTTGAGTCAGAGCTCTAGGCTTAGCCAGCCTGGGGCCCTGTCTACCTTGTTTGTCAGCCCCTAGCTGGCTGCCCCAGGACTCGGGCAACTGTTCCTGGCTGGCAAGGTGTTTCGGTGGGCCCAGCTGGTGCTGGCCTGGCTTGTCTGTGCCCCTTGAGCCCCCGGTTTGATGGGCTGGGGTCTGCTTGTGGGAACTGGTCTGTGGCCTTGGGAGCCTGTGCCTGAGCTGCTGCCATCGTCTGTGAGGGCTGATGTGTGGGATTGGGGTGGCTGGAGCCTCCTGAGGGCCTCCCTCTAGGGCTGACCTGGGCCTGTTCTCCTACCTCCAGGCCTGAGTGGACGTCCCTGGGAACCTGTCTGAGGACCAGCCACTGGTGGTCCTCCAAGGTGGGCTGGGGGCTGAGGAGGCTCAGCGGCCAATGCCTGGTCACATGGGGTGCCAGGGCCACACCCTGAGGTGGGCAGGAAGGCCTTGCAGCGCTGGGTGGGGTGTAGCAGAACAGCTGTCATCTGGGTCACCAGGGAGGGTCGGGGCCCACAAGGCTGCCTCCATCCTCCCCGCACACGGGTACCCCGTCCACCCCGACCCCCACTGCTGCAGGTGACAGAGTGCTGCCACACGTTGTTCAGGTGTCCCCACGTGCCTGCGTCCCCCTGAAGTGCCTCCTGCAGGTCCCAGACATGTCAGCGGAGCCTGTGCCAGGAAGCCACCCAGGGGAGCTCCGGCCTGGGTGGGCACTGCCTGCTCAGACCACCCCCTAGAACTACCTCCCCTGGGCCGAGCGCTTGGCATGGTCAGGGGCTGAGCTGTTCCTTGCAGCTTCAGGTCACTCCAGCAGGTCAGTGTGACCCCGCTTTGCAGAGGGGAGCAGGCTGAGGCCGGTGAGGCCAGGGTGAGGGTGGCTGGCCGGCAGGCGCAGGAGGGCCCCCCCCGGGGCTGCAGGTGGAGCAGCCCCCATGCTGGCAGGCTCCGGGGGGCTTGTCCCAGGGGACTGTAGGGTGGTCCTGGAAGCCGACCTGTGCCCTGCATGGCGGGGCCTGTCCAGAATGTTCCTTTCTGCACAGACTGCTCGGACCCGGTGTGGCTGGCCCGAGGGGCGGGGCCGCCTCCCCAGTGAGAGGAGGTGTGTGGAGCGCAGCCCAGGCTTCAGAGGATGAGGGGCGGCTGCTGGCTGGGCCGCTGCACGCTGGATGGAACGTCCCGGGACGCCTGGGCTGGGACTGAACCCTGCGGGGTGGGCAGCCGCAGGGGCATCATTCCTGCCGGTCAGCATTTCTTCACGAGTCCCCGGGGCCAGCGGGCAGCCATGGTGGCTGCAGCCTCCCCAGGAGCTCAGCAGTTAGTCACAGGAGCGCCAGGGGTCTGAAGTGCAGGGTCTGTTGGGCTCCGGGGGACAAGGAAGGCAGGAGTCGGGGTCTCAGAAGGAGCCGGCGGGGTGGGGCGGGTGCTCCTGTTGGTCCTCTGAGTGGTTTTGGGAGGAGGTGGATTCCACCAGGGGGTTGGGAGGAAGGTCAGAAAGGGCTAGTCTGCCCAAGCACCTTCCCCATGTGAGAATTGTCACGTGTCCTGCTGGGAGTGGCTGGGGGGTGTCTAGGCTCACGGGGTACTTCCGGCTGCCCCCCACCTTCCCCACGTGAGAACTGTCACGTGTCCTGCTGGGGGTGGCTGGGGGTGTCTAGGCTCACGGGGTACTTCCGGCTGCCCCCCACCTTCCCTAAGGGGTGCAACCGCACTTCCAACCTCACAGGTCCAGAGCCCAACCCCCCAGCCCCTCGGGTGCTCTCTGGGCAGTGGGATCGGCTTCAGATGACCCTCCCAGTAGCAGTCAGTCTCGTACCCCTGGTCTGGGCTCCGATGACCACAGGGCCTCCAGCTGGCCTCCCTGCACACCCCGGCCCCTGGATCCAGTGCCCCTCGGGCTCATCTGAACGCTCAGGGCAGGGGACACATGCTTTGTGGGGGAACCTCTCCCCGGGCGTCCAGGTCCACAGACCCCAAATCCAGCTTCCGCGCTGTGGTCCTGGGGTGGCCTCCACCCCACTCGGACCTCAGCTCCCTCCCTTTGGCAGCTCTCCCTCTGATGTGTGGGTGCTCAGGGCCGCAGGCCATCAGTAGGGGCCGCTGGTCAGTGCTGTGGCCCCAGCACGAAGACCCTGGGGGGCTTGTCAGGAGCACCAGCTCCTGCCCAGAGCCCTTCCCTCACTTGGCCAGTTGTCTTGCCCAAGGCCATGCAGTGGGTGGGCAGAGCCAGATGCACCCTCTGGGCACTGCCCCCACACCCTCCTGGCCTACAGACAGGCAGCAGACTTCTCTGAAGCGTTTACTTAGCTCAAGTCCGGAGCTCCAAGCTCCTGCACATTGAGGGTGCGCTTTGGGGTGGGCGGGAGACCTTGAAATGGGTCCATGAGGCTGCGCCAGTGGAGTCGGGCTCTGCGCACCCCGGGTGTCCGGGGCGTGGCGTCGGCTCCAGGTGGGGCACGAGGCCCTCCCTGCTGCGGTTCTGGGGCGCACGCAGGTCCCTGCCGGCTGCAGTGTCGTGTCGGAGCCCCGGGCGCCTGGGCCCCGGGAGGCTGTGCGCCGCTGCGTGGCTCGGCCTTGGCTACCAGACGCGGCATCGCACACGTGGGTGCATGGGGGTGCCCCGGGAGCAGTGGAACGCTTCCGAGAAGGCAGCCAGGTTCTGCAGGGAGCCCAGCACCCTGCAGGCGGAGGGAGGGCCTGAGCAGGCTGCCCGGCAGGGGGCACGGGGCCCAGGGTCGCGGGGCCACGGGGAGCTCTTGCCTGTACTTCAGGGGACTGTGGACGTCGGTCTTGATGGACTGGACGGCGAACTCGGGCCGGTAGGCCCCGCACCACACCTGTTGGCACGCAGGGGCGTGGCTTTTGTAATGGGGGCGGGAGAGAGGCGGGGCGTGGGGACAGGTCTAGGGGTAAGAGGAGACCTGAGCTGATCAAGGACGGGGAGGGTCAGGCCCGAGGGGGGGGGGGACAGGACGGGAAGGGGGGAGTGGTCTTATTTCCCATCAGTCAGGAGGGAGCTCCATCCTCTTAGCCTGCTCCTTCTAGGGTGGGGGAGGGCGGCCAGCAGGCTCCGCCCCTCCCTCCGCGGACCCCCCTGACTGCTCCCCCTCTCCAACCCCGTTATTTTCCTCCTCGAAGCCTTCTAGGCTGGTTAGTTCCGGTTCTGCCTGGCTTGTCTGCTTGGGTTGTCCTTGCAGGCACCCCACAGTTGGGTCCCCAAAGCCGAGGATGGGGAGCCCGTTCTGGGGCGGGTGCAAAGGGGATTCCTAACCCCTACCTGGGCGTAGTTGACGAAGAAGATCTGGTCGAGGGTCAGTTCCAGTCCTGGCAGCTGCTGGTCCTTGCCGCCTTCCGCTACCCACTTCAGGTAAGCCTGCGGGCACCAACCCGTTGCTGGGCCGCCTGCCCGCCCTCCTGGGGAACACAGGGCTGGGCCAGAGCTGAGGTCAGGCTCCAAGGCCTGTGCGGGTGGGGTCCTGCCTCTGCTGGCGGGGCCCTCCAAGCCCGGAGGGAAGGTGCTCAGGGTCACCCAGCTAGCTGGGCACCAAGCAGGCCCCTGCCGCGCAGTGCCTGGGAGATGGACAGGGGCCGCCCACGTGCGGGGGCCTGGGCTGAGGTCAAGGGAAGGTGTGGGCGGAGCAGCCAAGGTGCCCTCCTGCCCTGGGCCAGGCAGGCTCCCCCAGGGCACCGCTGCCCCTCAGCCAAGGGTGCCGGATGCACCTTGGCTTGGGCAGGGGGCAGTTCCGGTCACTCTGAGGGCCCATCCCCGGCCCCTGGACCCACCTTGTATGCCTGCCGGACCCCTCCGTTGTCAGCGATGTTCTCCCCAAGGGTGCTGAAGCCGTTCACCTGCGCACAGGAGACAGGGTGGCGGTGGAGCCCGCTGCCCTTCCCTGGGGGCCAGGCTGAGCCCTGCCCCCCCCCTTGGGCGCAGCTCTGGCGGAGGCTCACGTGCTGCTGCTCCGCCAGGTCCCAGGAGTAGTTCCCGTACTGGGCCACCATGCACTGCGACTGCTTCCTAAAGTGCTTCTCCGAGAAGTTGCTCCACCAGTCCAACATGTTGCCGTTCTTGTCGAAGTTCCGGCCTGGGGGGCAGAGGGGTGTCCCTGCAGGTCCTCCGGGGCCGGAGTCTGAGTTCACGCTTGGGAGTAGAGAGCCCGCCTGAAGGGCACTGGCCTGCTCACAGGGTCAGCACAGTGTCGGGGACAAGGGCCAGGCTCCGGAGAGAGCGCTGCACTGGCCTCCCAAGCCGCCCTCCAGGGCAGGGCCTGGCGTCTCAGGACCCAGGGTCCCAGAGGCCCTGTGGTTCAGTGGCCCTTCCTGAAGCCTAAACTGTCTGAACACTGGGGGAGGTGGGCTGCCCTTGCCAGGTGCCCTGGTCGGGCTCTGTGGGTGGGGCGGCGTCCCTGGTCACAGGCCACCAGGTCCAGGCAGAGTGGTCACCCCCAGGGCAGGGAGGTTGGAATGTGGGGTCGCACAGCCCCGGTGGAGCTGCTGGCTGCCCTGGGGTGACCTGGGCTCGGTGCCAGGTCAGGGCGGAGCTTCCACGTGCTCTGGGCTGTCCTGTTCCCGGGCCCAGGGAGGCGGGGGCCAGATCTTGAGGTGGAGGGATTGTCAGGCCCCGAAGCCTGTGCCCTCGGCTCTGTCCCTCTGCCCGGAGCAGGAGGGCCAGCCGGGGCTAGGCTGCCCATTAGCACCCACTTTGCCACCGTCGCTCCCCTGGGGACCTGGAAGTGCTTCCCATGCCATGGGCCTTGGTGTCCCCACCTAATCAGGCACGGGAGGGGTGGACAGCCCCGGGGCCCCTTCCCACAGCCCGGCTTGCCCCTCAGTGCCCATCTGGGGCTGCTGCCCATGGAGGGGGGCCTCGGAGGCACAGCTCTGGCCCACAGCAGCCCTACCGTTGTCGTCAAAGCCGTGGGTGATCTCGTGCCCGATCACCATCCCGATGCCCCCGAAGTTCAAGGCCTGCGGCTGGTCCTTGCTGAAGAAGGGGGGCTGCAGGATCCCGGCAGGGAACACTGCCCGGGGCGGGCGTGGCAGGGACAAAGAGTAGCTGTGAGTGAGCACACCTGTGTGCCCCACCTCTAGGGGTCCTGCCTTTCACTCCCATGCACCCCACGAGGGAGAGGTCGTGACCCGCCCCTCAGCCCCCATTTTACAGATGAGAGAGCTGAGGCTCCGAGCCCCGGAGCAGGGAAGGGTTTGTGGCAGGCCCAGGACCCATGTCCAGATTCTCTTCACCTTTTTTTTAAAAATAGGTTTGTATTGATTTTTTTTAGAGAGAGAGAGAAAGAAACATGGATGTGACAGAGAAACATCAATGTGACAGAGAAACACAGATCGGCTGCCTCCTGCACACCCCCTCCTGGGGATGGAGCCCTCTACCCGGGTCTGTGCCCTGGCCGGGAACGGAACCGGGACCTCTCCGTCCTGGGCCGATGATCAGCCCACTGAGCCCCGCCGCTCTGCCCCGTGTTATGCTGCCTGAAAAGGGCCTGCTGCCCCGCCCTCTGAAAGCCCCTGAGGTCTGAACACAGACCCAGGAGACGACCCCTTGAGATGGGTGACAGGTGAAGTCCTGCAGGTGGACAGAGGACGGGTGGGGGTGCCCGAGGAGGAGGGGGCCACTGCGGCTCCCCGCTGGCATTAGAGGGACGAGGGCGGGCGGTGGCGGGAGCGTACCGATCTGGTTCCGGTTGGGAGAGTAGAAGGCATTGACCACGGCGGCCCCGATGATCCAGCTGGGGTAAGGGAGCTGGTCACGTGCAGTCCTGGTCTGCAGGAAACCTCCCTCTGGGCCACCTACTGGGCTGCCCCCCAGGGTCCATGCCACAGCGGAATGCCATGGGACCGTCATACCAGCATGCCACAGGGGCTGCTGAGGCCCCCAAAGTGCCAAAAGCGAGCGCAGGGCCCCGGCCAGTCCAGGCATCTGGCTCCTCCTGGGGCCTCCTCCCTGAAACCAGGGCCCGAGCCCCGCCCTGCCCCCGTGCCCCCACTCACAGGTTCTTGTCCACCTTCTTCCGCAGCTTCTTCAGGCTCCGCTGGGCGCCTGACCTGAGGTTCTGCAGGCCGTTCTCAAAGTACAGGTGCTCCGAGAAGTTCAGCTGCAGGAGAGACATGGGGAGAGCAGAGGTCAAGGGCCCTGGGGCCTGGCATGGGGCCCCCGGGACCCGTCTGGCTAGCAGGCTCGGTGCAGAGGGATCACGGCGCAGGTGGGGAGGCAACCCTGCCTCTGCTCCACTGCGTGTCTCCGCAAGCTCCTTTGTCCCCCTGGGGCCTCAGTGTCCCCCTTGGTACCAAGGTGATACTAGAGCTGCCCGAGCACATGGTCAGGTGGGTGAGTTATTGACGGAGCCCGGCCTTCCCACCCCAGTAACCAGGGGCCTGTGGTCCACAGGGGCCAGTTCAGGGGCCGATGGGGTTGGGTAAAGAGACAGGTGGGGCTCTGGGGCCCGGGCCGGGGAGGGGCTCACGTTGGAATACTCCTTGTCCAGGTGTTTGTTCCTCTGCTCCAGAATGTAGTCGGGGTACCCAATCTGCACCTTGATGTTCATTGCCTGGGGAGGAGAGGGTGTGGTCCATGCCCACCCACCACAGGCATCCTGGCCCCGCCCCCACCGAGCAGGTCACGGGCTGAGGGACGCGCCCTGCTGGCAGGCTGTGGAGGAGGGTAATGGAGGCTGTGGAGGGGCTGGGCCCAGGCCTAACTTTGCATCTGACCTCAGCCCAGGATCTGGGGGGTGGCTGGGGCCCTGAGCGGCTCCTGGTGGATACTGGCGTTACTTTTGGGCACCCTGCTTCCTGAGGCCTTGGACTCCCCACCCATTCCCGGGGTGCTGGTGGGTCTCCTGGGCTTGGCTTCCAGTCCTGTGTGGGCCCACATTCCCCTCCTGAGCCAGCCACCCCCAGCCTGGCTGTCTTCCCTGGCTGAGAGTGTGAAGGTGATTGTCGCGAGCCCCACCCTGGGGGTGCCCCTCCTCTGCCCAGAGCCCTGGGGGTGCCCTCCTCTGCCCGGAGCCCTGCCCCGGGCACTCCAGCCGCCTGCCCACCTTCTCCTGGGCCTTCTTCTTGGACGAGTCGTCCATCCAGCTCAGCTCGTCCAGCGTCTCCACAAACACGGAGCGCACCTTGTCGATGAGCTCTCTGACCTGGGGCAGCAGCGGGGTCTCTGCAGGTTCTGGCCAAGCCCCTGGGTGCAGGCTGCCCCGACGGGTGTGGGTTGGTGCGGGGATGGCCCTCCTGGGACAGGGTCCCTACTGCCGTACATGGCCGTAGGGGGCGGTAGGGCCTCCCAGCCCTGGACACACACTCAAACCCGGATCCCCCTGGCCTCGCCTTGTTGGGCGCCAGGGCTCCCCACACACCCACCACCACTGAAAACACCACCTGCTCTCCGGGAGCTGAGTCCCAGTGCCTGGCGGGAGCTGGGGACCTGCCCCCACCCAAGTGGGCCTGCCCCCCGGGAGCGGCAGTGCCCGGCGCAGCGGAGTGCCCGCACCCACCACTTCCTTGCTGTCCTTGGAGAAGGCCTTCCTGACGTAGAGCGAGCCCACGGCGCTCTCCATGTTGCTGTTGACGTAGCTGACGCACTCCCGCCAGCGCACCTCCTCCTCCGTCTTGCCGTACAGCACCTGGGCCACGGTCCTTCGCTGACCCCTGCGCTCCTGGGCCTCGTCCATCCATGCCTCCTCCATGCCTCGTCCATCCATGCCTCCTCCATGCCTCGTCCATGCCTCATCCGTGCCTCGTCCATGCCTCGTCCGTGCCTCGTCCATCCATGCCTCGTCCATGCCTCGTCCATCCATGTCTCGTCCATGCCTCCTCCATGCCTCGTCCATGCCTCGTCCGTGCCTCGTCCATGCCTCGTCCATCCATGCCTCGTCCGTGCCTCGTCCATCCATGCCTCCTCCATGCCTCCTCCATGCCTCGTCCATGCCTCCTCCATGCCTCGTCCATGCCTCGTCCGTGCCTCGTCCATGCCTCGTCCATCCATGCCTCGTCCGTGCCTCGTCCATCCATGCCTCGTCCGTGCCTCGTCCATCCATGCCTCCTCCGTGCCTCCTCCACGCCTCGTCCATGCCTCCTCCATGCCTCGTCCATCCATGCCTCATCCGTGCCTCGTCCATCCATGCCTCATCCGTGCCTCGTCCATCCATGCCTCCTCCATGCCTCGTCCATGCCTCATCCGTGCCTCGTCCATCCATGCCTCCTCCATGCCTCGTCCATCCATGCCTCGTCCGTGCCTCGTCCATCCATGCCTCCTCCATGCCTCCTCCACGCCTCGTCCATGCCTCCTCCATGCCTCGTCCATCCATGCCTCATCCGTGCCTCGTCCATCCATGCCTCCTCCATGCCTCGTCCATGCCTCATCCGTGCCTCGTCCATCCATGCCTCCTCCGTGCCTCGTCCATCCATGCCTCCTCCGTGCCTCGTCCATGCCTCATCCGTGCCTCGTCCATCCATGCCTCCTCCATGCCTCGTCCATGCCTCCTCCGTGCCTCGTCCATCCATGCCTCCTCCGTGCCTCGTCCATCCATGCCTCCTCCGTGCCTCGTCCATCCATGCCTCCTCCGTGCCTCGTCCATCCATGCCTCCTCCGTGCCTCGTCCATCCATGCCTCCTCCGTGCCTCGTCCATCCATGCCTCCTCCGTGCCTCGTCCATCCATGCCTCCTCCGTGCCTCGTCCATCCATGCCTCCTCCGTGCCTCGTCCATCCATGCCTCGTCCATCCATGCCTCGTCCATGCCTCCTCCATGCCTCCTCCATGCATGCCTCATTCGTTCCTCATTCATTCACTATTCAGTCCTCATGCCTCGTCCATTCATTCCTCGTTCATTCATTTTTCATTCATTCATTCTCATTCAGTCCTCATTCATTCATGCCCTCGTCCATTCATTCCTCATGCCTCATCTATTCATTCATAATTCACTCACTCATTCATTCCTCATTCATTTCCTTTTTCATTCCTTAGTCCTCGTCCATTCATTACTCGTTCATTCATTATTTATTCCTCATTCATTCATTCTGCTGCATTCACCAACACCTACTTCTCACCCTCTACTTCAGGGTGCCCAGGTGTCAGTGGGGGACAAGGGGTAAACTCAGAGACTCCCATTTGAATGCTGGGCACAGGTGTGGGATGGAGTGTGCAGACTGGAGGAGGCTCCAACCCAGGCAGGGAGGTGGGGGGTGGGGCCCTGCCCAGCTCCCAGCTCCTCATTCCCTGTGCGGGGCACCCTGGCCAGACTCTGCCCTCCAGGACTCCCGCCCCATCCCCAGACTGACAGTGACCCCAGAGTGGCCCTGCAGCTATGTCCAGCTCAGCCACCAGCTCTCTGTGCCATGTTTTCTCATCACCGAGTGGCACTGAGAAAGTCCGCCCATCTGTCCCCAGGGGCATAAGATGGAAACAGGTCTCCATCAGATTCCTGGCCCCAGCCTCAGCCCAGAGCTCCGCCCACCATGCCCCCACCATCCTGGACAATGGGGTGTCCTGCCCCTCGGGTGTCAGTGTAGCCCTCTCTCCTCAGAGCTCTGGGACTGGGCTCACTCCCTGACGCTTGTCTGGTCTCCAACCCAGTGTGCAAAGCAGGAGTCGGACTTGCCCCTTTCTGCTCTGCCCTGTCCCCGTCCCCGTCCCTGTCGCAGTGGTGGGCTTCCACCCAGCCCATGGCTCTGCAGAGAATCCTGGAGCCCCGACTCCTGGGCCCTCATCCCACATCGGTGCAGCTGCCTCTCCCGTCCGTCATCCACACCTCTCCTGGAGCTACACACTGCCCACACCCTGGTCCGGGCCCTGGTACCCACCGGACACCATGCCCGCCTCCACTGGGCCTCCACTCTGGCCCCACAGCCCCGCAGGCATTGCCCCAGAACAGCCACCAAGACCACAGGGTCTCCGGTGGGTGCCCTGCCTCCACCCCTCCCCCGGCAGCCAGAGTGACCTTGAAGGCAGGACTGTGCTTCCACTCCAGCACCTGGGCTCTCCGGGTGCGGAGTCTGTGTTCAGCCCGGACCCTAGGTCACAGCCCTGCCTCCCTCCCTGACCTCCTCTCCTGCCCCGCATGGCCCGGGCCCTGGGAGAGGCCCCGGGAGACCGCTCTGCCTCTTCATGCCCCATCACCCTCGCTCAAGGTCGAAGGTATCACCTCCAAGGAGAGGCTGGCCCTGCTCTGGGTCATTCTCTTTGTTCTGAAACAGCACATCCCCAGTTTGTCGACAGCCTATTGTCCGACTGCCCAAGAGGGCCACTGCCTCCCTCAGCTCCTCTGTGGCTCTGGCCCCGGGACCCAGGTGGCCGGCCCCCAGCAGGGGCCCGGAATCACAACCGGACTGAAGGAGCCGCCTTGGTGGGTCTCACGCACCTTGCGGTAGTGTGCGCGGGCGTCCTTGAACCTCCGGCTCAGGCTGCTGATGCGATCCTGCACCAGGCGCCAGACCAAGTAGTTCTGCATGGTCCTGCGGGCGGGGGCAGAGGGCCGACGGGACAGGGCAGTGGTGTTTGCTCAGGGGCGGACATTGGTTATGGGTCCTTGGCCAGCAGGTTCTACCCCAAACAGGGAGGACAGGATCATAGAGAAAACCCCCAGATACAGCCTGTCTGTCCTGGAGGCTTGAGATGCCTCAAGGAGGGAGGGGTTCACATCTCTAATGTGAGGCTCCATTGGCCATTCACATTTACCCCCCATTGTCCCCATGTCTCAGAGTCAATGCTCAGGGGGCTTTCTCCTGAGAGGAGGGCCTGTTGGGGAGGGCACTGAGCAGGGACAAAGGTGCAGAGGCCTCCTTGGGACCTCCCCTGGGCTTCACCTGGCTGAGAAGACATCGATGATGTCTTCAAGCTTCTGGAGGTAGGGGATGCCATAGACCACCACCTCTTCGTTTGGGAGCAGCTTGATTTTGACAGAAGAAAGCACAGATTGTATGAAGAGGGTCCAGTTAAATCCCTGGGGAGGTGGGAGGGAGAGGGAGAGGGAGGTGGGCACAGAGCCTGGGCATCCCGGACGCCCAGCCCCCGCCAGGAGATCAGCCAGAAGGTGCAGGTGACCGGACGGACGACGAAGGTGGCTGCCCCGACGCCAGAACCTAGGGACTGTGAAGAGGTGTAAGAGGTTAAGCCAAAATATTTGAAAACTGAATTGCGATGGAAAGACTCCCGGAAAGCACACTACCGAGAAAAAATGACGAAAGAAGGGATAGAAAATAGGAATAGTGTATTCCATAATAAACCGTGTACTGTGACTTTGGCACGAGGCTGGATGTCCCAGCCAGTTCACTAAGACAGAGAAGTGCAATAAAGTCGGTAGAGCTTGACAGGGAAGACATAAAACTTACCTTTCACCGAGGCTGTGCTTTCGTGTGCATGAAAAAATGAAGACGGATCTACAAGGTGTTATAACCAGCAGGTGCTTTGAGCACCACGGCCGTGTACAACGTCAGTCTGCGTGTATCCGGCCACAAAGGAGGCACCTTACAAATGGTGCCATTTACAATCATATAGAAAACAAACCAGGAACACATCTCGAGAAAGATGTGGACGGTCTTGACATAGAAAACTGGCAAGCCCACCGCGAGAAACCAGAGACGGAAACATCATTGGGTTGGGGGGCTGCAAGACTCACAAGCAAGGTGTCCGTGTCCCCGAAACGAACAGGGAGGTGGACTGCAGCAATCCCTATACAACCTCGCAAGCTGGTGGGTGCAATGAGCAAGCTGAGTTTTGTAAGAAAATGCAAAAGACGGAGAAAACTCAAGATGACCCTGAAGAGCAGGTTGCTTCTCACTCTGTGGAATACTGAGAATATCCTAAAGCTGTAGCAGTGGGGTCTTGGGAGTCAGCGGCTGGTTGGCATGGGGCACACAGAACAGTAGGGCAGGGAGCGCTCAGACACACACAGGTGCACACACACAGGCACACACACAGGTGTAGGCTCACAGGTGCACACACACAGGTATAGGCTCACAGTTGCACACACACAGGCACACACAGGTGTAGGCTCACAGGTGCATGCACACAGGCACACACAGGTGTATGTACACAGGCACACACTCACAGGTGCACACACTCACAGGTGCACACACACACAGGTGCACTCTCACAGGCACAGGCACATGCTCACAGGTGCACACACAGGCACACACACAGGTATAGGCTCACAGGTGCACACACAGGCACACACAGGTGTAGGCTCACAGGTGCATGCACACAGGCACACACAGGTGTATGTACACAGGCACACACTCACAGGTGCACACACACACAGGTGCACTCTCACAGGCACAGGCACATGCTCACAGGTGCACACACACAGGCACACCCACACAGGTGCACGCTCACAGGTGCACACACACCACGCGATTCACAAACATGATTTTCAGTGAAGGTCCCGTGCAGAGTGTCAAGGGAGAGGTTCTCTTTAATAAAAGGAGCCGAGTCACCAGACAGGGGGACGGAAGGAAATGACTTCTACGTCGCTCTCTGAAAGAATAAGCTCAAGGCTGACTGTAGACCTCAGCCACCTTGGGTGGGCGCGAGATTTCTCACGGAGAACACACAGACACCAGCCATGAAGAAAAGGCGCTCCGTCTTTGATACGTTGATTAATTGAGCTGGTTTGAACCTCTGACCTTGAGTCTGTCCTAACTTCATCCCTCTGACTTCGGCCCCATCAACACCCATGCCCTCCACCCTCAGACTGGGTTGTGTCCCTGCCACGCCCTCCGCCCTCTGACTTGGCAGGGGTACAAGGACATTCCCCCCCTCCTTCTGCGGGAGGAGGCCCCTCCAGGGCTCAGCCCCAACGTAAGGTGTGGCCAGTGGGGAGGGTCAGGTTGGACAGATGCGTGGGGACAGCTCTCAGTCAGGGGCAGGCAGATCTGGGGGGAGTCGTGTTGGGGTTTAGAGCAGGACTTGGGTGAGGGTCTTTCCAACTCAGTTGAGTCAGCCACTGCTCCCAGCCTCTTTCCTGCTCAGAAAACTGGAGCCCACCTCACAGACAGAGTGGCCCCCTGACTGAGATGGTCTGTTGACACCTGCTGTCCCAGCGGGAAAACGTCCCTATTTGGGTGACCATTACAGGGCCCCTGCTCAGGGCTGTAAGGATCTCTGAGTTTAAATGAGAGAGGCCAGGAATAGGGAGAGTCGGGGCTGGGGCTGGGGCCGGGGCCAGGGCCGGGCCGGAGCGGCCGGCTCCTGGGTGTCCGGCGCCCACCAGGCACCACATGCCCCTCCCCCATCGCCTCACCTTCAGGCCGAACTTGTTCTGCAGCTCCTTCACCCTCATCCTGTGGTACAGGGCCGTGACGTCGTGTCGCTCCTCCTGGGGGACTGTGGCCTGTGGGGGGCTGGGCATTGGCCAGGGGAGGTGGCTGGGGGCCAGGTGTGTCCCTCCCCGCCCTCCACCTGTGGGCCAGCCTCACATTTGCTATCTGTGTCTCCAGCTTCAGCACCTGGGCCATGTCCTTCTGCACCAGGAGGCTGTTCTCAGGGAGGTGCATGTCTGCCCGCAGCATCGTGACCAATGACACCATGAACCTCAGGTAGGCGTCACGCACCTGGACCAAAGGATGCAGGATGGAGTCAGGCAGCCTGGCCACCTTAGGCCCCAAGGAGCTCTGTGTGGGGGTGGGGTGGGCATGTGACATGGAGCAGGCCCCCAGGGTGCTTGTTGGCCAACCTTGGCCAGCAGGTCACAGCGGGCCCTTGGGAAACTGCAGACTGTCACGCCCCCACCCCCCCACCCCCTGCCAGGTCCTCAGCTGTCACTCACACTCCCTGTCAGGCATCCCCATGGGTGGACATGCCCACTTCCCAGACCGATCCCGGGCCTAGGCCCTGAAGACCCCAGACAGCCCAGGGCTGGGCTCCCCACTCCTCGAGCCAGTGACACCTGGTCCCGAGCTCCCAGGGCACCGAGTCCTGCTCTGCTGGCTGCCACGCAGCAGTGCTTGGTGAAGCCCAGGCCACGCCGGGCTGTCGGGTGCCAGGCTGCCTGAGCCGGGTGTCGGGAACTGTGCCTCCAGGACATGCCCTGCCTACACGCGCTGCTTTTGTGCCCCATCCTGGAGGGTCCTCTCCACTGGGGCTGGTCCGGGGCTGCGGGGAGCCCTTCCTGACGGCCCAGCCCCGCTGCTCTGCGCGGCCCCGTGCGGGCTCCAGCCTCACGGCCTCACTCCACAGCTGCTCCTTCCGGTCACGCCGTCTTTTCTCCGGCTCTTTCCTTCCCCCACTGCCGAGCTGGGGCCCCTCTGCCGCGGGGGGTCATTCCACACCCGGCCTTCCAGCGATCTGCTCCCTGCCCCCGCGGGCCCGGGTCCTGCCACTAGCCAGTGTTTGGTTCCTCGGTTTCTCGGTGCAGGGGCGAGTGGCCGCGGGAGCAGCCTGGGCCTGTGCCCCGAGCAGGACACCAGTGCTGTGTGGGGCCTGGCAGGTGTCCCCGGGGCCGCTGGTTGAGCTGAGCTTCTCCCGAAGGTCTGGGGACACTCTACCGGGTGACAGAGCTTGTGCCCACAGCTCTAGGCTGCACCACTCAGGTACTCACAAAGGCTGGCTGTGGGGCCGGGGGGGACACGCGGGAAGCTGGCTCCAGGTGGGCCTGGAGTGAGGGAGGAGGGCCGGACGGGGGGGCGCAGAAAAGGGCCTGGACACAAGGTCTCGCGGGGACTCACCTTCTTGTTGCTGCCATCCTGAAAATAGTACTCTCGGGACGGCATGCCCAGGGTGGGCTGGTCTACCTGCAGACAGAGGGCGTGAGCCTGGGCCGGCGCCGGCCCCTCTCCCCTCCTCAGCCCGAATGCGCCCTGGTGCGGGAGCCTGCTCACTGTGTGCGGGCACAGGACCCCCGGGGAGGGACTGCGGGTGGGCGGAGGGGCGCCAGCCCCCTTCCTCCCAGACTGGGTCACATTTGCCACAGGGGGGCTCTTTGGCTTTCTGAGGTCAGGTTTCCTGCCCAGGTGCCCAAGGGCTGGGCAGCTGGTCCGAGAACCAGCTCAGCACGTGGGCCACGGGTCAGGACACAGGGTCATCGGCAGCCGGCCCCCCACACCATGGACTTGGACCCCAGAGCAGGGCCCTGGGAAAACCCCCGGAGCTCATCTGCCGATCTGGCCATGGCCCTGGATTCTCCCTGCTGTGCTGGAGTCCTAGCCAGGAATGGGGTCCCGCCTAGGCCCCCAGCCCCCCGGGCCCAGCCCAGCCTCCCCCCGCCCCGCCCACCCCGGCTCCCGGCCCCGCCCACCCCCTGGGGCTCCTACGTAGATGATGTGCCGGCTGGAGTTCTGGTCATCATTCCAGATGAAGAGGTCGATGAGGACACGCCTGTTGAACTGCGAGTTCATCACGGCCAGCTGCTGCTCCAGCTCCCAGTTCTGGCCTGGGGAGTCAGTGCCTGTGCTGGTGACCAGTCAGGTCCCTGGGCTCCCAGGCAGCTCCCCGTCGCTCAGTGGACCCCTGGCCTCCTAAGCCCAGACCTCAGGGGGCAAAGGAACCCCTGCATGGCTCACCTGTGGGCCTTGGGGGCTGGGGGACCTGGGGACGCCACTTCCCCACAGTCCACAGGGTACAGCAGGGCCCTGGGGGCAGCAGTGTGTGCAGGGGCTGCCAGGCCTGGGTGCACCCTGTGCCCACCCCCGACCTGAGGTTGAACCAGCCTGCAGAGAGCTGAGCTCGTGCTCAGAACTGGGAGCCCTGGGTCCCCAGCCTGGGTCTGGAACACACGTCTTTCCTCGGGGCCAGAGCAGAGGGGTCCAGCCCCAGGGAGCCCGCCTGCTGGCTTCTGATGCAAGTCCCCAGCCCGGGTCCGAAGCCTGGGTTCCCAGGAGCCCCAGGCCCAGGGCCCCGTCTGTACAAGCTGCCCCAGGCCCTGGCCTCACCTACGGTGTCTGTCCACTTCTCCGTGGCCACTGGCCAGCCTCCCAACACCTCTAAGACGTCCAGCAGGGGCTGAGAGTCTCGTTTCTCTATGATGCCTGGGAGGGGAGGAGTGGGTGGTCACTCGCCAGACACTGGTGGGTGGGACACTGCTGTCCCACAGGCCCGCTCGGCCCTTGGATTCTGCAGCACAGGGCACAGAAGGGCCTGGGACTAGCGGAGATGGGGTGCAGATATGAAAGGGGGTTGGGGGTTCCTAAACATGCAGGTGCCACCAGACGAAGTGACCAGGAGGGGAAGACAGGCCAGCGACTGTGGGTGAGCCCGTCTGAGGGGGGCTGTGGCCAGGAGCAGGCAGGGCTCCCCCGGGGGTACGCTGGGATCCCCCGACAGGGATGTGGGACAAGCCTGGGGCAGACCAACATGCTGGACAGAGTGAAGCACTTCTCCAGGGCAGCCATGGTCTGGCAGGAAGCTTGGGAGAACTTGACTCAGAGACGCGGTGAAGTGTGGAGATAAAGGGAGACCTGGGGGGGGGGGGGCAGGGGAGGGGCAGAGGAGACCCCAGGGGGAGAAGGGGCCTGGGAGCTGGGAGGCAGGGACACGGGGCAGCTGGGTATCTGCAGGATGGGTTGGGGCACCCCCGCTCCTCTGGCTGATTCTGGTTTGGAAGTGGGGACAGAATCGAGGAGCTGCAGTGATGGATGGAGCCCCTGGAGCTGTTACGGGGCAACGTGTAGCTGCCGGGCTGGGTCCCCCGGAGGGTGGACTGGCTTCCAGGAGGAGCTGTGGGTCTAGGTTGGATCTTCATGTCTGGTTTGGCCATTGTCCTGTTCTAAGTTCAGTCTTGGGCCAGAAAGTTCACACAGGTGGGGACACAGGAAGCCCCCTTCACCTGGCGGGGCTGGCCAGACTGGACTAATGACCTTCAGTTCCCATGGGGAGAAGAGGAGATGAGCCTAGGCCCGCACAAATGGGGCTTGAGAAAGCACCCCCATACAGCTGGGGTCCCAACGAGCCTTGCTGTCAGGTATGTGAAGAACAATGCCACCCTCCAGAAGACCCCAGAAAGACCCCAGCTCTGAGCCTCTGACCCCCAGGCTGGGGTTGCAAGCCCCTGAACAGGGACTTAGGGGAAGACAAGCCAAAGGTGTCCCAGATGTGTAAGTCCTCTTAATAGAAACCAGAGCACTGAGAAATCCCACAGCATGCACACACATAGACATGTACAGACATGTATACACACATACCCATGTACATATACACACACATATACACACAGACATGTGTACATACACACACACACATATACACACAGGCATATATGCATACAGAGACATATATATGCATGCACATATACCTACCTACATGCATATACACACATAAACATGCATATATGCACATACCTACACACATAGACATGCATACACATATACACGCACACATATACCTATGCACAGACACGCGTAGAAATGCATATACATATACACATAGAGATATGTGTATATGTACACTGGCACATATACCTACACACGTGTGTGTGCACATACACATAACATGCACATACATATACTACACACATAGACATGTGTATACATACACACTGACACATACGCATAAACTCACGCATATACACACATAGACATGCATATACATATACACTAGCACCTGTACTTACACACGTACATACACACACACACACACAGACATGCATATACATATACACTAGCACCTGTACTTACACACGTACATACACACACACACACACAGACATGCATATACATATACACATAGACACATATACCTATACACAGATATAGTCATACACACACACCCAGTAACACACACATTCTTTCTTGACCAGACTTTAATCTGGCTCAGGGGCCATATCCGAGGCCCATTTCTAGACTCCTTTTAAAACCTAATTTCAGCCAGAACCCTGCTGAACTCCCACCCTCCACACCTGGTCAGGGTCCTCATCCCCCACTGCTCCTGGGTGATGTCTGACCACCAGCCTGCCTTCTGCAAGAATCCTAATAGGTGGGTTTAGCCAGAAGGTCCCTACCCATGATGTCTTCTCTTGATAATTTTCCATCCACTCACCCAGCTGCTCCTTGGCTGCAAAGTCCCCACTGGCCTGCTGGGGACTCGGAGTTGAGCCTGTCTCCCTCCCCCTCTGCAGAACCCCATCACGGTGGTCCCCACACCTGTCCAGATGGCCCTGAATAAAGTCTGCTTCACGAACTTCAACAAGTGCCAGGAGTAAATTTTTCTTTAACAAACACACCCACACATACACACATATACAACACAGACACATATTCCTATACATATACAGGCATATGTATATACATATACACACACACACATACTTATATAGATAAACACACACATATACACATACACACATCCTCACATACATATATATACACACATACACACACATACATATACAACACAGACACATATACCTATACATATACAGGCATATGTATATACATATACACACACACATACTTATATAGATAAACACACACATATACACATACACACATCCTCACATACATATATATACACACACATACATATACTACACACATAGACACACACAGACACACATACCTACACACATATACTATACAGATAAACATGCATATACACACATGCACACAGTCATGCACACATCCTCACACACGCACACGCAGTACACGCATGGGCACACAGGCTTTTCCCGGGGCTTTCAGCCAGGCCTCTCACTGAGGTCCTCCTGCCTGTGGCCCGCGCTGGGGTCAGGGTGTGAGGGCATCATGGGCAGCTGGCAGTAAGTCTGTGCCCCATGGAGAGTCCGGACATAGTTGGCAGGTGGGGGGCACAGCACACAGCCCTTCTGGCCTGAGTCCTGAGTGAGTGGCACCCACTTCACCATGCTGTGCTGCAGCTGGGGGTCCAGAGTGAAATGGGTTCTGGCAGGGGCAGTGTCTCCCACTTGGCCCCATTCCTGCAGGACCAGCCCCCTCCCCCCACTCACTCATTCATCCAGGACCAGCCCCCTCCCCCCACTCACTCTCATTCATGCAGGACCAGCCCCCTCCCCCCACTCATTCATTCATGCAGGACCAGCCCCCTCCCCCCACTCATTCATTCCTGCAGGACCAGCCCCCCCACTCACTCTCATTCCTGCAGGACCAGCCCCCTCCCCCCACTCATTCATTCCTGCAGGACCAGCCCCCTCCCCCCACTCACTCTCATTCATGCAGGACCAGCCCCCTCCCCCCACTCACTCTCATTCATGCAGGACCGGTACAGTGTCTTCGCCTTCTGCACAGCCGGCCGGTCGTTGGTGGTGGGTTTCTCCAGCAGCCCTGTGGGCCCAGGAGAAAGCTGGACAGAGGCCTGAGGCAGCTGCTGGGGGCCAGGTCAAAGGTTCCCATGCTCCCACCACACTCAGGGACTTGTGGTCCATCTGCCCCTGCGGGGCCTTTATCCCAGGGGATCCCCTCTCCCCTGTGCCCACTGGACAGAGGGCTCCGTGGGCTGTCCCCATGGCCCCACCGCCAACCTCGAGTGGACAGGCACCGGCCTCACCAGGTCCGCCCCAGGTCCTGGCCAGCTCACCCTTGAGGACGACCTCCAGCTCATCCCGCAGGATGTCAAAGACACTGTAGCGGGAGCTGGTCTCGGGGATGACGTGGCGCCGTATCCAGCCCCCGCACGCGTACTGGTAGAAGTCGTCACATGGCTCCTTGGACGAGTCCATGTTCTGGAGGATCCTGGCAGCTGCTCACCCCCGGGGGTGGAAGGAAGAGGGGGCGCAGCTGTGGATGCCGGGGGGCCATCGCATTCACCGGCAGCTGCGTGCCCTCGGGAGGTTCAGTCGCCCTCTGAGCCCCAGTGAAGTTGGGAGCAGGGACTCAACTTCTAGGGCCACCCCATGTCAGCCACATGACCTTGGATCCCCGTGACCTCTCTGAACCCTCTATTCCCTTCTCTTGAATTTCGTGATGCCAGCAGTCCGACAAAGGGGCTCTGCTCTGTCCCTGGAGTCCGTGCGTCCAAGTGGCTCTTCCTCGCCACTTGGGGGGTTGTTTTCTGTTAGAGGAAGTGGCTTTGTCCCCAGAACCCCAAGTGTGCAGGGACAGTGGGGCCCCGCTCCTGGGAGCCCTCAGTGGAGGTGGCTGGGCTGCTGGGCTGCGACCCCCCCCCCGGCCCCGGGACCCTGTTCCACGCGGCTGGGACCCCACGGGGAACACCTGCAGGAGCACCCCCGGTCCCGGGACCGTTCCACGCGGCTGGGACCCCACGGGGAACACCTGCAGGAGCACCCCCGGCCCCGGGACCCTGTCCTGTTCCACGCGGCTGGGACCCCACGGGGAACACCTGCAGGAGCACCCCGGCCCCAGTGTTCTCCCACTAGCGTTTCCTCACATTGCTTGCAGTTTGTTGTCTGTGACTAGCAGCACGTGAACCCCCCTTGTAAGACCCACTCCTGGGAGAAAACGTGACTGAGGACATAGTTCGTGTGGTCTTTCTGTAAATGCAAAAGAAAGACCCTGCGGGGTCCTGAGGCCAGGGACCCAGGGGCTTCTGTCGGGGAGCCGAGGGCGGGGGATGAGAATGGGGAGCAGAACCCGCTTCCTCAGCCCAGTGCGGAGCCCCAGTTCGGCCCCAGTGCCTCGTGTCCTGGCTGCTCCCCTCGGCCTCCGGCAGGGCCTGTGCCGGCACACGGGCAGCCCGGCCCGGCAGGGTTGGGAGGCGCGGAGGGAGGCTCACCTGCTATCACGCAGCCAGGACTGATGCACGTGTCCTCGATCTCGCCAACCTCTTGGACGGCTGCGGGCAAGGGCAGTGTAGCATGAGAGGCGGGCGCAGGTGGGGGCGCGGGTGGGGGTGCAGGTGGGGGCGGGTGGGGGTGCAGGTGGGGGTGGGTGGGCCCCCCACACCGTCCCAGTCCCGTGGGCTGTCCGGCCTAGGACCCCGAGGGCAAGGCCGGAGGCCACTGCAAGTCCTGGGGTGGCCCAGCCTGAGGCCTTGGGTGAGGGTGAGCCTTGTTCTAGTTTGACCCTGCAGTTACCCCGCCCCAGGGCTGAAGCCGGCGGTGTGCCCCCTGCCTGTCTGCACCCCCGCCTGTCTGCACCCCCGCCGGCTCTCGCCTCACCAGGGGCTGCTCCTCCAGGCCGCCAGCCAGTGCTGTTGGCTCTGCCCAGACCCCCAGCCCCCAACACCACCCCCAGCTGGTTGTGTGAATGTGCCCCTGCCAGGCCTCGGGGCAGCGCCCAAGCCTGGGCTCACTGCCGCACCCTGCCACTGTCCTCTCTCCTTGGGACTCGGGGCCTGCGGTGACGCGGCCTGGCCGCGGGCTCCCTGCCCCTCCCGAGTGCCAGCCCCTCGGCGTGTCTGTGGGGAAGGCCGGCTACCTCGGGGTATCCGCTCTACAGTGATCTTCTGTTCCCGGGAGACGGGAAGCCGGCTAGTAAGGGTTGGCAGCTGCTTCCCTGGGGAGAGACACAGCACTCAGCTCCGGCCTCCAGCCGCCAGCGCCAGCCCTCGGGGATCCTTGGCAGGTGCCGGCATTCTGCCGTGCCAGGGTCCTGGGGCCACAGCCCTCCCCTCTGCAGGCGGGCTGATCACCAGGGAACCGACTCACAAGGACCCCAGCGGAACTCATCTCTGAGGCTGAGTGGATGGGACGCCCCTGGCTTGCCTGCCCCAGCCCCAGGCCCCCTCCCTGGGCTCCCCCATCTGCTGGGGCTCAGAGGGTTCCTGAGGCAGGGCCTCCCTCTCCAGAGGTCTCCTGGACTTCCTCTCCTACCTCATGGTCATGAGCTGCCCCCATGCAAGGTGGGCAGCTCTTGGGGGCGGGGGTCCTACCAAGGCTGGAACAAGAAGCTTATTTAAGGAAAAGGATGTCCTGTGGGGGGAACACTTTCTGACCCATCGGCCACCCTCAGCTCCAGCCTCTCCCCCTTCACTCTCTGTTGAAGGAACAGAGCCACCTTCCCTCCACCCCTCCTACATGGGGGACCCTGCCTGGTGGGCGTCAGGACCTTCTAGGGTGGGCAGTCAACTCTACCTGGAGAGGGGAGGAGGGGGAGGTGCAGGGATGGGGTAGGGGGACCAGGTCAGGGGAGAGAACACACCAGGCCTGGCCACGCCAGAGCTGGCTGTGGCCGAACTTCCACAGAGAGGCCGTGGGACGGGTGGGCAGAGAGAACGGGGCCGTCCAGGTCAGGGCTGTGGGCAGGGCCGGGTCCTGGGTCGGCCCTGACCACAGTCTTCAGAGGGTGTAGGCCGCCCTGGAAATGGCGGGTGCTCCCTGCGGTCCTGGCCCCTCGAGGGAATGTTTATGAGAAGTGATGGGGGTGGGCGGTGGTTCTCCTCCTGTTGGTTGCTGCTCTTTCCATTTGTCACCTGCTTAGCCATCAACCCGACAGGTGTCGATCACTGTCAGCCTGGGGCTGGGCCTGAGGGACTCCGTAGGCATCTGCCAGGCCCTGACCTCAAGAAGCGCCCCGTGCAGTGGGAACGGCTGAAGTGTCGCATGACGCCCATGTGGAGACAGCTCTGAACTTCAGAGAGAAGGGAACGGGCCACAGAGCAGAAACGGACGAGGAGTGGCGATGGGCTGCGTCCTGGCCGCCCCCAGTCAGCCCAGGGGCCACGGGCGTGTGAGCGCCAGGTCTTCATTTCTAAAACCATGATGAAAGGAACCAGGGGCCTGGGAGAGATGGCCGATTCTATACCTGGGGCAGGAGTTACATGGGGTGAGCTTGGAACACTTTATAGTGCCACGGAGTAAGAAAATGCTACTATCCTCTTCAAAGATGATATGCCCACAACGATGGAGGTATGTCAAAGACCCTAGAAACCAAATGATAGCCCCACCCCGCCCCTGTGGCCAAAGTAAAAACAATTTGAACAAGAAAATAAAGTACTATGGGATTCTGACCCAAAGTACAAAATAAATACCCTCAAGTCCACACTGACATAAACAAATCATTGAATAAAAATGGGGAGAATAGACAAGTCTCCCATACAGAAGAACTCCACATACCTGATATACACATTCCATCTCTAAGAACAGGGGACATAACCCCACCCCTAAGTGTGGGCAGCACATGGTGACTTCCTTTCAAAGAGGACAGTAGGGACAGGGAGGGGACAGAAGTAAATTTACAGGGCAAAAACCTGACAAACACTAACCTCAAGCCATGTGGTCAAGGTCAACATCAGCAGTGATAAGTCACTGAAAGTATGTGTCCTTGATCTGTGGGTTTTCTCCCTGAAACACTCTATCCCAGTCTAATCGAGAGAAGAACATCAAACAAATCCTAATTGAGAGACATTCTATAACACACCTGGCCAGCCCTCTTCAAAACTGTCAAGACCACAAATTAAAACAAAATAAAACAACAAAACAAAGACCCTAAAAACAGTCTGAGAAACCATCACTGTCAAGAGATTGGACCACTGACTATAACAGAGGATTCCAGAGGGGATCAAATCCTGAGACAGAAAAGAACATGAGGAAAAAAACGGAGGAATAGACTTAGTTAAAAGTAGTATATTAATATTGGTTCATGACTTGTGATACATGTATCACACTAATGTAAGATGTCAATCATGGGACACTGGGTGTGGAGTGCATGGGAACTCTGTTCTATCTTTGCAGTAATTCTGTAAACCTAAAACTTGTCCGAAATTTTCAAAAATTAGTTTTAAAACAACATAACAAAGGCTATGAAATGGGTGGGACAACATTACATGCTTTGACATACGTGTAACTGAAGTCCCAGAGGGGAGACGACATGGGTCTTTGAAGAGATGGAGGTCACAGATTTTTCAAACACGATGAAATACATACATCTACAGGTCCGAGAAGTGCTAAGAAGTTAATTTTAAGCAGTCCCAGGCTGATAGCATCCCAACAGGAAAAATACAAAGAAAACCACACACAAAGCAGCATCACAGTCAAAATACTGAGGGATGAAAGAGAAAGAGACATTCTTAAATGCAGCTGGAGCTAAAAAGACATTACGTTCAGCAGAACAACAGTAAGAATGATGATTGTCTTCTCATCATACACAGGAGAGGTCAGAATATGATGGAATGAACCCTTGAGTAAATGCTAGAATGAAAGAAAAACAACAACAGCACTATCAACTTAGAATTCTATACCCAGCAAAAATATATTTACAGCTCGAAAGTGAACTGAGACATTCCAGATAAAATCTGAATTTGTCTCCACCAACAAGCACCATAACAGATACTAAAAAAATATCTTTGCACAGAAAGAGCATAAAGTCTGTTGGAAGCCTGGACTGGTTGAAAGGAATTATGAGCACCAAAAAGAGAAAACAAGGATGAACTGGGTGAATGAAGTGTTGTCGAGACCAAAGCTAAAAAGGCAAGTTCATGGCTCATTCATGCTTACGGGTCTCTTCTGTCTCCCCATGTACCCAACATGGGCTGCCACAACCTCCTGGTTGGAGGAATTCCTATGGTAAGTGCGTCAGGTGCTACAGCTTGAGTTGCCCTAGGATACAGTGCGCCCCCCAGGGAACATGTCCAAAACTGACTGAGACAATAGAGTCATGTTTTTCCATGAGGCCTTTTAACTTTATTGCCTCATTCGATTATCACAAGAAGCGTGTGCAGCTCACCATCTCCATTTTCGTAATGAGAAAACTGACAGGGAAGTGGGGTGATGTAGCCAAGTCACCAGGAGTGACAGAGTTTGGACTTCCAGCCTCATATTTTTACTTAAAATCTGTTCTTCTGCCCTGGCCAGTGTGGCTCAGTTGGTTGAGCACTGTCACTTGCACCAAAGAGTTGCTGGTTCGATTCCCAGTAGGGGCACATGCCCGGGTTGTGGGCTCAATCCCCAGTATGGGACATGCAGGAGGCAAAGCCAATGGATGTTTCTCTCTCAAATCAGTAAAAACATATTTTAAAAATAAATTAAAATCTGTTCTTCTAAGCAGGAGCACAAAAAAAATAGCAAATCTCTTTGACACAAAAACGGAATAGAAATGAAGTTCTCCCCCTACTGCTAATGTGGGAGCAAGAGAAAATGGAACAAACCCCACCCAAGGACATTTTCTTCTTTATTCCAGAAGGGAGTTGCTTTCCTTTTTTTAAAAAAAAATATTTTTTTCTTTATTGATTTTTTTTTTTTTTTATCATCACCCGAGGACATTTTTTGTTCAGACAGAGTGGGAGGGAGAGAGAGGAAGAGAGAGAGAGAGAGAAACATCGATGAAACATTGACGTGAAGGGACACATCGAGTGGTTGCCACCCGCACGACCAACCAGGGCCGGGGACAAACTGCAACCGAAGTACGTGCCCTTAGCGGGAACCGAACCCAGGTCTCTCTGGACCGCAGGCCGACGCTCTAACTGCTGAGCCAAACCGACCAGGGCTTCTTTACTGATTTTAGAGAGAGAGGAAGGGAAAGAGAGAGAAAGATAGAAACATCGATGAGAGAGAACATCGATTGGCCGCCTCCTGCATGTCCCCGACTGGGGATCGGGCCCACAACCTGGGCATGTGCCCTGACCGGGAATCAAACTGGAGACCTCTTGGTGCAGGGTCGATGCTCAACCACTGAGCCACATGGGCCAGGCGGAGTAGTTTTCCTTAATGCTCGATCCACATACAATCTACCCTGTGTTCTTTCATATTTGCTTGAATGACTCTCTAATATGCAAATTATTTTCACATAGACTGTACATTAAAAAAATAATTGTGACATTTCCTCTGAAAGTGTTGTCCTATTCCAAATGTTGACCTTGGTTTGAACAAGGCTTTGATTGAAATAATGTATGCCTCCTCTCTCTGTCTTTCTCCTCTTTAAAAAAAAAAAGGACTGCAAAGAACTTTCTTGGATGGAAAATGAACATTCTCCCTGGAGAATGCATTATCACAGGCTAGTTTTCATGCATGCGTGGGGTGTGTTTCCATGCATAATCACAGGCTGGTTGTCATGCAAGTGTGGGGTGTGAGTTTCCATGCCCATGTGGTCATGGAAACCTCAAGCTGAGAAGTTGATTTTAAGCAGTCCCAGGCTCGTAGCATGATGCCACATGCCCCATGGAAACAAACACACATATTCTCCCAAAGGAAACCTCTCAGCCCGAGTAACCTAGGATTCCCACAGGTAAAACCTATTCGGACATGGATTCACTCCATGAGTGAGAAATAACAGGCTAGAACCTCAAGGACTTCATATTTAGGGATTATCTGATCCAGATATGTGGAAGATGGCAATGTTGCCCACAACTCTCGACTCCTCTCTGCAGGTCTCAGAAGATCGAACTGGGGGCAGGACTCACAAGATCATAGAGAGCCCCTCCAGCAGCACCGGCATACATATCATCTGCTTCTGCTGAGGCACAGGCACCAAACTCCTCCTGCTTGCCTGGACTTCCTCTCACCCCACAGGGGTCAGTGAAAATCTACTGGCCCAAGGGACTATCAGAAGTAAAAGTCCTC